TGTTGATGCTAGATGTGATGATCAGAGTATTTCAGGAGTTGCTCATCTACCGAGCTTTTCATGTGAAAACATCGCTTAGATTTATAGAGAACTGTCAAAGATCAAATATCCAGTATGTGGCAGTTATGTCTTGAGGAGAATGGACTAATAATACAAATAGGTACAAATGATATAAAGGGAACCACTGGTGCCACCTCTGAACACACAGCTCATCAAACTCTGAAGTGAACAGGCTACAGCAGCCGAAGAGCTCTCCAGATGCAGCTCCTGTCTGCTAACAACAGAGACTACAGTCCACACAGGGTCAGCAGAATTAGACAATAACAGTATGAAAAACATGTCTCAGTTTATATCTGTGGTTTAGATTCACAACAAATGTACATCTCTGAAAATTCATATAATGTAAACATTTTTTACTCTGTATTCATTTCAGCAAGTGAAATGAATACAGATTCATTACACACAGAGTAAAGTATTTCAAGCCTTAATATCTCTTGTCATTTTGATGATTATGGCTTACAATTAATTAACAGTGTGGGGAGGCGCCAAATCTTTTTTGTAAATTAAATCAGAATTTTCAGCATGAAGTGCTCTGAAATGTCCTGCGTTGACAGAAAACACAGAATCAGAGCCAGCAGATGGCATGATGAATGGCAAGTGGACTGAGTTTATGTAGTTTATCTCCTTGTCATACTGACCACTCAAAGCATTTTACACTGGAGCCACATTTGGCAAATGGTAAATGCCTTGTATTTGTACAGTACCTTATCAAATCCAGAGAATCCCAAAGCACTTCACATTACATTCAATCATTCAGACACTCTGACGGTGGCGTGCTCCTGGATAGCTGCCACAGCTGCCTTGGTGCAGGCTGACAGCGAGGCAGCCATTCTGCAGCCCTCTGACCATCAACAGGAGGTAAGGCAGGGTGAAGTGTGGTGAACTGCAGCACTGACTCCACCATTGTCAGAATCCATTCACACTTACACATGCCTTGCCCAGTGGCACATTGACAGATGAGAGGAGGAAGCTGGAACCAATACTTACAACTTTTGTGCTCTGTGATTGCAAGACTACTCTCTCCACTTCCAACTCTGTGATCCCACTTCGAACCCCAAACGGTCACTGACTGTGGAATCTTCACACATAGGCTGCAAGCAGTGTTGATTCTCTACCTCTCCACTGTCTGGGAGCTTGATTTCCAAATAATTTGCAAACCTTACTTTCATTTGAAAAGAAGACTTTGGATCAATGAACAGCAGAACAGTTCCTTCTCTCTTTTGCCCAAGAGACTTCTGATGATGTCTTTTGACAGGAATGCCTCTGTCTTGGCATTCCTGTCAAGTTTTGGACACAGGAAATATTTATCTGCTGCTGCCATTCGAGCTGGGGCAGGGGGCGATGAAGACTACAGTCAGAGGGAAGGGGCATGGGGGGTGTAATGATGTGCCACGTAATTATTATAATATGGGAAATTTTCAGCAAAATACTCATATGGGAGCATGGCGGGAAAGAGGAGTAAAAGTCGGCAGTTTCCTGGCCAAAACAGGAGACTTGACAGGTATGATTCTTGGTGACTCCAGCCTCAGTTCACCTCTTGAGGAGATTCTGACTCATTTTAGGGATGTTACAACATGAGCATTCAAATGGCAAAATACAGTAAGATTAACCAAATGGTGCATCTTACATCTTTGCACTGGATTGCACATCTTTCACTAATAATTACTAAATTAAACCAAACCAGTTTGGTACAACGAATATTAGTTAAAAATTGCTGAAATAGATTTTCATGTTGTTTAGTAATAATAGTTTTGAGAATATCGCCTCCTAGTGGTCAAAAACCTTAACTGTAAATGCGTTTGCACTCAATTCCCCGAATAAGGTTAGGAGTTTTATCTAAAATATAGTTCAGTGGTATTGTTTGCTCTCAAAATAGTAACCAGCTGTGAAATATATATATATATATATATATATATATATTATATATATATATATATATATATATATATATATATATATATATATATATATATATATATATATATATATATATATATATATATATATATATATATATATATTATATATAATATATATATATATATATATATATATATATATGTAAAATTCCCTTCTCACCCACCACGGGTGGTTCTTATCCTCTGAGCTCGGGTCCTCTACCAGAGGCCTGGGAGCTTGAGGGTCCTGCAGTATCTTGGCTGTGCCAAGGACTGCTGCACATTTCTGGACTGAGATGTCTGATGTTGTTCCTGGGATCTGTTGTAGCCACTGCTCCAGTTTGGGGGTTACTGCCCCGAGGGCCCTGATGACCACAGGTACCACTGTGGTCTTCACCTTCCAGGCCCTCTCCAGTTCTTCCCTGAGGCCCTGGTATTTCTCCAGTTTCTCGTGCTCCTTTTTCCTGATGTTGCAGTCACTTGGTATTGCTACATCTACCACAACGGCTTTCCTCTGATGTTTATCCACTACGACAATGTCTGGTTGGTTCGCCATTACCATTTTGTCTGTCTGGATCTGGAAGTCCCACAGGATCTTAGCTCTGGCGTTCTCCACCACCTTTGGGGGTGTTTCCCACTTTGATCTCGGGGTTTCCAGTCCATATTCTGCACAGATGTTTCTGTACACTATGCCTGCCACTTGGTTATGTCGCTCCATGTACGCTTTCCCTGCCAGTATCTTGCACCCTGCTGTTATGTGCTGGACTGTCTCAGGGGCCTCCTTGCACAACCTACACCTTGGGTCTTGTCTGGTGTGGTAGATCTGGGCCTCTATTGCTCTGGTGTTTAGGGCCTGTTCCTGGGCGGCCAGGATGAGGGCCTCTGTGCTGTCCTTGAGTCCAGCTTTTTCCAGCCATTGGTAGGATTTACTGATATCAGCCACTTGGGTTATTTGCTGGTGGTACATCCCATGTAGGGGCTTGTACTCCCATGATGGTATCTCTGGCACCTCAACCTCCGTTCCCTGTTGTCTGAGACATTCACTGAGCACATTGTCTGTTGAGACTTTGTCCCTGATGTATTTATGGATCTTAGTTGTTTCGTCCTGGACAGTGGTTCTCACACTCACTAGTCCTCTGCCTCCGTCCTTGCAGCTCGTGTATATATATATATATATATATATATATATATATATATATATATATATATATATATATATATATATATATATATATATATATATATATATATATATATGAAAAAAAACCCCAAAGCACTTCAGTGTACATAATATGTACACTGGGTACTTTTGTCAGACTAAAGAAAGTTCAAACCAGAAGTTAAAATCCACTGAACATAAAGAGACACACCTTGGACCAAACACAAGTCATATAGTCTAAGACAATGATATTGTCCAAATGTAAACACACCAGCCACCTGTACGGGAAGGTGCAGAGCAGGATGTACTTCCTGAGGAGACTGCGGTCCTTTAACATCTGCAGCAAACTGCTGTGGATGTTCTACCAGTCAGTGATCGCCAGTGTCCTCTTCTACACGGTGGTGTGCTGGGGAGGCAGCACATCCAAGAAGGACACGTCCAGACTGGACAAACTGATCAGGCGTGCCGGCTCTGAGGTCGGCATGAAGCTGGACTCTCTGGTGACGGTGGCAGAGGCGAGGACACTGAACAAACTGCTGGACATCATGGACGATAGCAGCCACCCTCTACACGCCGTCATCAGCAGCCAGAGGAGCCTGTTCAGTGACAGACTGCTGCTTCCCAAGTGCCGGACCAATAGATTCAAGAACTCCTTTGTCCCCACGCCTTCAGACTGTACAACTCCTCACTGGGGGGTCGGAGGTGACACAGGACAGAGGGAAGAAGGAGTAGTTTTTCTACAAATGTGAACTCCATATTTATCAGGCCAAACCATACAGTGCAATACCATATCACTGGTCAATCTATCCACCAAATTGCTATATTTTCCTTTTGTGTAGTATTTATATTCTTATTACATTTACTGTGTATTGTATTTAATTTGTATATTTTTTTTTTTTGTATTTTTTTGCGTATGCTCACTGTGTGCCACTTTTTTGCCTGTGAGCTGCTGGTAACTTTAATTTCCTGAGGGAGGCTTCCCACGGGATCAATAAAGTACAAGTCTAAGTCTAGTCTAAGTCTATCTAAATTTGAAGAAAGATACAAAAAAAAAATCTCTAAATCTCTTAGTTCTCACTAAGTTTTCTGGCATTTAGCAAATAGAAATAATTTTGGTACCTCTAACTGACCTGAAACAGTTTGGTTTGATGTAAACAGTGATTTATTTTATGTAAATATCTGATTTGAACTGTAGGTGTGTGGTTCCAGTCTGAGGCTGCAGTAGAGGGTCAAACTGGAAGGGGGAGAAAATACTCTCCCTATGTAAGATGTTTTGAAATCTTTGCTTCAAAAAGTAATCATTTGCTGACTGGAGTCTCCTTCAGGTGGGCGGGGCTATCAAACCTGATAGGGAAGCATGTTATCTTGTTCTTCTCAGAGTGTGTTTCCATGAGACATATTCTCTGCTACACCTCAAATTCAGGGTTAGAATATTCTGTCAGGCTTCAGCTTAATCCAGTGTGTGACCAGGGCTCTCAAACTCCAGTGATTTCCAAAGAGCCCTGCTGACAATCTTGTAATTATTATTCAAATGTGTGGACAGTGAACCTGGATGATTGCAGTTTAAGACTCCTTGTATAATTCCAAGAAGGATTTTTCTGTCATGAATAGGCTTTTAACGACTAGAGCAGTTTTAGACTTGCCTTTTAACTTACACTTTATTGAAAAACACAACAAAAAACATAATGTTAGAAAATTGATTCTTTGTGTGTTAGAAATATATTCAGAAATGCTCTCAGAAACTATCTTGACAAATAAAACTGATGAGACATGGAAGATGACAGACGGTTCCTGTTGGGGAAACCAGCAGATAAAACACTGCGGCACAAGAAATGTCAACATTTAGTTCGACTATTCATATTAACAGATTTCTACAAACTGTGTTTACTGTGTGAACCCATACAGGTGACTTTGTTTTATTGTTTTTTTTTAAATTACTGTCTAACAATTGTACAATTTGTTCAGTCTGGTGATGTCATTCTTGCTCATCTCAGTTGCCGTTCCAAAAGAAATGCTTGAATCGGGAATGGGAACCATAGTGGGTTGATTGTTTGCAGAGAATGCATACCTGGAAGAAAACAGAAAGGTTCATCCAACAGAAATTAAACAGAAAATCATAAACTGTTTTACTGAATAAGGTTTGTGAAAAAGCTAAATAAAGGACAGAGTGCAATACGTTCAGCTGCTCACCAAACTGTTTGTGTACGGAGTTAAATTCCTCATTTTATATTAACTGAAAATTCCAATGAATATTGATAATACAACTCTTTCAAAGACTATCTGAAACAATGTTAGATTCCAAGTATAGAAGGAAGTCTCTCCAAACCTGTGGTAATGCATGACAGAGTTGTAGTCATAGGGGGTGTTTAAGTTCAGAGTGTCAAGAATGTCAAAGGCGTACGCAAAATCTGGGAGAAAAAAAAAGAAAACAATGATAAGATTTTAGCAGGATAGCTTCTGTATAAATCATACACTAAACGTTATCTGTTGCTCTTGTTAGTAGCTCAGGCTCTGACCAGACTGGATGTTCTCCCAGAGGATTCTGATGTACTGGTCCCTGTCGGAGCGGCACTGCTCATGGTTGAAGCCGAGGGCGTGGAGCAGCTCGTGCTGGACGGTGCTGTGGTAGATGCAGCCCGCCCGGTCCAGAGACAGCGTCTGGCTGTAACCAAGCCGGCCAACATACGAGTAACAGCTGCACACACAAATGATACAGTTGTGTGCATTTCACTGGGATTTTAGGTGAGAAAGCAGCAAAGTGTACATCAGGACAGACTGAAAAATCTGACAAACAACATAACTATGACCAGATACCCATAGCATGATACCATGTTTCATGTTTCAGAGTGGGGACGTTTTATGAAGAGTGATTTCTAGTGCCAGTTGTTGTTTTCCATTATTACATGCAATAAATTTGCACATAACTACTCTATTTTCCTTCCAATTCATCATCAACCAAAATGAAATTCTAAAAGTGCTTTATTTGATTATAATAAATTCAGGGGTTTGTTTCTGAAAACTCAGGTGATGCAAAAAAAAGTGTGTCCGTTGCAGTTGTGCTAAACATATCTTTTTTCACACTGCTGGAAAAAGAACCGACATCCAACAATGCAAAAACATTTTATCAAAAAATTAGTTTTTCTTCCCCCAAAATAGGTATGTTTCCCTTAGGCAAATTTATTTCTTGTAATTGCAATTAGCACAATTTTATGGTTAACGGCAGGTCTTTTGAACTTTTTATGTTAAGTTTAAGTAATTGGACATTGAAAGTTCTTCAAATTTATTGAATATATAAATGATGTACCTAAAATAATAAAAATTGAAAAATAAAAGAAAAACCCACAGAACTAAGAGACAAAAAATGGCCCCTTGAACGCACACCGGACACTCATTAAGCTAAATGCTTTGTCATTATTTCTGATGTTTTTTTCAGTGTTAGCTTATTTTTTTAAGTTGATGTATTTTCTTCCACTATGCAGATGTTTGTGCTTATTGTCATTTTTCACTCAGGATGTGCAGTTTGCAGTGTTACCCGTTGAGCGACTGGATGCTCAGATAATCTCTCTCGTTGCTCCGCCTGGTGAAACGGATGCAAGAAACGTCACTGAAGGACTGCAGGCCTCGCTCAATGATGGAGAGTTCCCGGGAAGCTGCAGAAAGACAAAAATCAGAATAAAGTCCTTCCCACAAAAACCTCTTTCCTCCATGTCAGTGTGGAAACAGTTCATTCATTGTCGTTTTATGTAATGCCCGTTTTAAAAATAGGAAAGGATACCATCGCAAAACTCTTTCAGAGTTACAATGTGTTGTAAAAATAAATAAACAAATAAAAAATAAGTCTGTCGTATCCGCACAATGAGTTTGAATCAAATAAAAACATGCTGTGTTTTCTCCTGGGTCATACTGTAGTGATTGGCGATGGCGTAGGGGATGTAAACTTTTCCGTCTGCAGATTTGGGCCACAGGCAGCCGCGCGAGGTGCACTGATCTGCATTCCTCTCATTCTTACTCTTGTAGGCAATATCATCTATTACAAGGGGCTCATCCTCCATGTGCACTGGCAAAAAATATGCAAGGTTAGTTCACTGACATGAATTTTATATTGATATAGAAATATACAAATACATTGTGGAAATTTACAAAGATTTGCAGGATTTTGGTCATGCCTACAAAAGCCCCGACTTATCTATAATTACTAAGGACCGATACTCAAAAGTTTGTGTTTATGGATGACAGAAATAACACTTCAAAAACTATTCAAAAGCCTAAAATGAATAGATTTATGCCCATAAAGAGTGTGTGTAAACTTCTCCTCAGTGCTGTATGAAGAAGTAAATCAATGTTTCTGTAAACTGGAAGACTACAATGGAAAAACAATTTAAAATAGATTAAAGGAAAACACCCAGATGGTTAAAAGATGTTGAGGGGAAAATGACTCATTTATTCATGGAACTTGTATTAAAGTTAGGCTCTTAATTCAAGTTTGGATTTTCAAAAAGACAAACAATTATTGTTAATAATTATCTACTGACTGAATATAATTTTCAAGAAATAGAGATATGCTCTAAGGCTACCTTATCTGAAGATAGATGATCACAAACATAAATGGAGGGAGAGAAAGCAAACCAGAGCTACAACACTGCCTTTTAGTTTGAAAAGAGGAGAAAAACTATCCAGACCTAATCTTTTCTAACCACATATTCAGAATGATTGTTTTCAGATTCTCACCAACATCTTTGTTAGCTCTCCACAGGAGCTCAGAGACGGACAGTTCCTGGTCAGAGAGCAGGAAGGGAGAAAAATAAAAGTAAAACACAAAAATAAGGAAAACAGGCCACAGGTGTCAGTCAGTTCTGGCAGATCTGAACTTTGGTTTGATGACATCAATATGAAAAACATCAGACTGGGAACCAAAGAGCTCTGTTAAGATAAAAGCACATCTTATGAAGTTGGGATATTATTCCTCCAGAGGAATCGCCTCAAACCAGATGTTGGACTAGAATTTATTTCAATGTCATTTAATATCAGCTCCTCATTTTCAACAGTGGACCAACAAAGATTGAAAAAGATTATTATTTTGGAGAAAGTTTCATCAACATCAATATGCCACTATAAATAGCATGTTTGAAAGAGGAAAAGCCTTTCAGACTCTGAGCTCAAAGCAAAATGCCAAAGAAAACCAAACTATTTCTTTTGGAAATTATAGAATATTTGTTTTCATATCATATCTCGGTAGAATAATTTGTTTGTTACTAAATGAAATCTATTTGTCCCATTTGACGTTTGCTGTGAATGATGTAAACTCACTGACAAATGAAGGAATTAGTCCAAGTTTGTCATCTATTGAACGTTCAGAAACTACAGCGGCTTGTAATGAACCACAGCGAAGCTCAAATAACCCAAACAGGAGGTCATTCATAACCACAGGAGGTCATTCATAACCACAGGAGGTCATTCATAACCACAGGAGGTCATTCATAACCACAGGAGGTCATTCATAACCACAGGAGGTCATTCATAACCACAGGAGGTAATTCATAACCACAGGAGGTCATTCATAACCACAGGAGGTCATTCATAACCACAGGAGGTCATTCATAACCACAGGAGGTCATTCATAACCACAGGAGGTCATTCATAACCACAGGAGGTCATTCATAACCACAGGAGGTCATTCAGTCTCTCTCTTTGTTTTAGCACACCCGTTGCCCTGGCGACTGCCTTTGCCCCGAGCCGAGCAGAGATGACGTTAAAAACAAAACATTCAGTCAATTTTAGGTTTTCAGGCTTCAGATTATTAATAAGCCTCTCAAGAGCACAACCCCAAGCCGAGCTAATCTAAACTCCTGCTCTGCTCGTCAGAGTCCATCTTTCAGTCCCTTTTTTTGGTTCATTGAACCTAAACGCACTGAATTGCTGTTGAAACAATAATTACTGAGATCTTTCATTTGAAAACGTTTTGGATCTTGAATATTTTCATAATGGCGTCAGAAGAGGACGTGTTGGTTTCAGATTCAGTTTGTCTCCTACTGCCCAGATCAACTCATTAATTGATCTACATTTAAGATAAAAGAACATTTAAGATGTAAAACATCTTAAATGTCGAACATTTAAGATGTTCTACAAGACAAATCAGGACTGTACACACTGTAAAAATGGTCAAATAATTGTATTAAGTTAGAAAAAACATCTTTTTACTGAATACTGTCATTTCAATGTCACCCTGACGGATCCTCACCTTGCTCTCCTCTGCCCAGCAGGAAGTGAAGCCCACCACCAGGACCATGATGACTTTTAACACCACCACCATCTTACCAACCTGTAAAGTACAGCATTAACACCTGCATCCCCCTGAAACTCCTACTTATACACCATCTATATTTACACACTTGTGAACACATGAGTCGTTGGTGATAAGACATTGCCTTGAAAACAGGCTGCCTGTTCCCACGATGAGCACACAGAGAAAAGTGCCTGAATGAGCAAAAAATAAACGTCTATGTGTTTTTTGAGGTCATTTTGTGGGTGAGAGGTGCATTTCTTTTTAAATTGTTACTTCCAAGTTTCCTTTGAGGTGTTTTCTGCTGGTTCTCAAGACAAAAAGAACATGATGTTAGAAAAGAAAAGGATTAGTCTTTCTAACCTAATCCTTCCGCTTATCCAGGACAGGGTTGCAGTCGGTAGGCCCAGACTTCCCTCTCCTCTGCCACTTGTTCCAGCTCCTGCAGTGGAATCCCTCAGCATTCCCATACTACCTCCAGGGTGTCCTGGGTCTTCCTCTGGGTCTCGTTATGGTGGGACGTACCCAGAACACCTTGCACCTTGACATGGAGAAGGAACTCAAATCTTCTCTGGCTCAAAACCTTGAGATGCAATCCTGAGGCCACCAAACTGGATCCCCTCAACACCTTGGCTACACCTAGATATTCTGTTCAACATGCCACCCAGATTTGATCACTAGATTATAGCTATGATTAGTTTCAGGTTTTTTCTCGCTTTAGAGGCATTTGAGTCCTCAAACAGGAAAACGGGTTGTGAAAGAGGGAAGACATGGCATCACACCAGGACTAACCTGTGGGTTGTGCATTTTACCTCTGCCTTAGTTTCTTTATCGTTATTTTCTAGTTACAAAGAACTTGTGGTGTTCAAAAAGTCATTCCTCAAGGGCCGATATAACCTGTATGGTTTAGTTCTGCTAAACAAGCCATTTGATCCAGGTGTGCTGAACCAGGAAGAGAACTAAAGCATGCAGGAAGCCCATGAGGACTAACTGAACTAAACCTTTTGTTTCTCATACTAAAGTGTAATTTCTGTTCAGCTGAAGAAAATTATGGCACATCCAAGTTTTGATTTGTTCAGTGCTTGATTGGGTTCAGTCAACTTGTGACACTGTGATGTAGATCTGTTTTATCTGCGTATCTATGGTGACTAATCTTACTATTCCTTATAATCTGAGCTGATGGGAGTATGTCAATATTAAATAAGAGCTGCTCAAAGATGGAAACCTGCAAAAGATTTTTATCCTTTCCAATAAAAACTTCTTTAAAACTCAAAGCAATTAAGTGCTGTACCAGTATATGATGGTCTTAAATAATGTGTTGACGTCAGCATTGTTCAGACCAATGAACAACGCTGACATTGTTCATTGGACTACACTGTTCCTTCAACAGCCCATATTGAACTAAAAGTCCAATACTTCTCCAGCCAGTGGTGTGTTTGGGTGTTTAGTGATACAGTTGACTGTACATTTATATGGAGGATTTTGATGAGAGTAAAAAAAAAAACAGACTGAGCAGCACATGAGCAGAGACATTACAGGTTGACAGTACTGACCAACATTTATTCAGAAAATAAAAGCAGCAAAGAGGAGACATATAACAGTACAATCAGATGAAATTAATAACAGCATTCTCACAAATATTTTGATCATTTCAAACATAATCCTGTGGCTTTCTGAAGACATCACTGACATTGATTTGACGGAGCCCTGGCCCTCAGTTGATTGAACTTATTACGGGAGCTGTTTGGAGCATCAGAAGGACAGGTTGATGAGCAGAGCGCTGTTCTCTTTTTTATCCTCTGGACTCCACTTGATAAGAGGAGAGCTCAGATCAATTAGCTGGAAAAACAAAAGATTCAAATATTGTTACCACATCTTCTAATCAAACAGCTGGCTGAATTTACAAGTACAAATAAGAACTTATTTAGACTTACTTTCTTTCAAAGCCAAGTTGACAGGCAAGTTACTTGATACCATTTTTACTTTCAGAACTAAAAACAGCATTAGACACTGAACCGTATGCCTTTGAGGAAACGTATGAATGTTTTCATGCCAAACATGTTGTATTAGTTAGACACTAACTGAGGCTCTGCAACTAGATGAACCAAAATCACAGTACGTTCAAACCATACATAATACTTGAAACAATATATCGATTTTAAAGTTTATTCACCAATAAGAGTCGACAAGATCTGACTACGAAAGACGCGAATAAAAATAGCAGCGGCATTTTTATTTAGAGACCAAACCTCATCAAAGCTTTTGATGAGGTTTGTTTAGAAGTGGAGTCAAACATCAATGAAATTCAACACCAGAAAACAGTAAATATAGGAGATGTTTGCTGTATAACAAACAAGAAACAATCAGAAACTTCCTATGTGATTTAGTTCCCTCATATGGAAGCAGCAGAAATCTAACTGTTGAAGGGCGCGCAATCGGACCGATTGGAATTTCTGCCTGTCGTGAAAAAGTCAGATATGGGTCGTAATGAAGGGGAGGCAAGACAAAACCCCATGAAAAAACAGGTTTGGGTTGCATTTGCATATGGTGTTGGCTACCCTTCACTTTATAAATGAGATCTTTGAAATGCTGCTTGAATTCCATTTATAAAGAAATCCCAATTCACTCCTTGGAAATGTACATTCCATGTTTTTTTATGGATTCAGTAATCTCTTAGATTCCTCATAATAATGAATCGCACATTTTTTTTTTAATCATAAATATAAAATTTTAAATATATCACTAGAGAAAAAAAAAACCTGACCTAGAAACATTTGAATTAGCTTTGTGAAACCTGCATCCATACATTCTGACTAATGCCACTGGTCTGCAGCCAAGAACTTGTCTGGGGTTTTCCACAGTTTCAGGGTCATTTTGATGAATCCAAAAATCACATTGGTTTTGCTCAATCAGGTCAACTTCCTGAACTATGGAGCAACATGAGCATCAAAATGCAAGACTTGTTCTCTCATCTGGATCAGTTTCCTGAAATCTGATCAATGAATGATGAGCAGGAGAGATTCCATCAGGACAGAAAAGAGGGAGAATTTTACACATTGAAGACATAATGTTCAATTCACATGTACTTACCCTTATAGTGATTATTATACAATGTACAGAAGTCCATGTTTGTAGCATTTCATTAATATACTGTTAGAAAAAAAATATCCTAAAACCTTCTTTTGTTGAGAAATATTAACAGCATTAAATATTAATGTCACAAAAATGTCATAAATTTAGTCAGAAGATCATCCATTGATTCATTTACCCTTGACCCTAGTGCGGTCAGCAGGGGTGCTGGTGCCTCTCCAGCTAACATTCTGGGCGAGAAGTGGGGTCACCCTGGACAGGTCGCCAGTCTGTCACAGGGCCACACACACACACACACACCCACACACACACACACACCCCACACCCACACCCACACCTAGGGAGAATTTAGAGACCAATTAACCTGCTGCAAGGCAACAGTGCTACCAACTGCATCACTGTGCAGAACGTCAGAAGATCAGATTTCTCTAAATAAAATTAGAATAACATCCATTTTTCCCTGACTGGGAAAAATTGATGTCACTTTTGGATTCAACAGTGCAAAATAATTCTGTTGAAAAAACATGGACAACTTCCAAAAAATATCTTTTGTGACCTGGTGTTACTGAGATAATTATTGTTGAAGTAAAATATTGTGACTGATGACATCAGGCACTGCAGAAAGATTTTACAAATGCACATTTCATCATTACCATTTCAATTCATTAGATTAACCAACTGAAGCAACTATTTACCGTTCGCTTCTTCCAATTCCAAATTTCATGAAGGACTCAGTTGATGCACATTGAATTAACTCATGCATGACTGGGGCTGTTCAAATCTAGTTGACCTAGAATCTAGTTGAGCTTTTACAACAGCTTCAGAATCACTGTAGATCAGTGAACTAAATGGTCAGCCTGAACTGGGTTACCTGGGTAGTGGTGCAGCTCTTGCTGCTGGTGCGGATCAGGTCGGGGGTGTTGGCCAGATCGATGAGGAGCTTCTCTTGGGGCTGAAGGCTCGGAGGAGGCAGATCCAGCAGGAGAACCTGAGGCGTTAAAACTCTCATGAGGTTTATTTACTGAAGGACTGGAGCCCCATCCAGCCTTTTTGGAGAATATTCAATCTTAAATGCTTTGAAAGGATTTCTGATGTTTGGCAACTTTACTTGTTGCAACAATTTCTTTCTTTATGCAACAATCCATCTCCAAGTGTGTGGAGAATTCTGTTTTGTGTCATTTTTTTTTTCTTTGGTTGAAGTAAACGTAGCACAAATGTTTGACACCAGTTTCATTTGATTTGATTGTGGTGGAGGGGAGTGGGGTGCAACTTCCCTCAGGTGTGGAGTTTTACTGTTCTTCTTTGATTGTATGTTCTTTTAAAACTCATTCATTAAAAATAACTGGTCTGCTAAAACAAGGACAGTGGTGACTGGGGTAACTATTCTCATTTTAACAGCAGACACATCATGGGCTTAAGGAAAGTCTTCAAGAGAACACTTCTTATAATTTCTGGAGCTAAACTCATCAACACCGTTATGACAGAATTCCTTAAGTCTAAAGGTGGAGGGCCTCATTGAACTGTGTGTTTGATTCTGTTGCAACAGCTCATCAGTTCTGTTTCCCAAACGTTTTAACACAAGTTGTTTATTGCCATCATTTTTGGTACAATTTATTGTCCAACAAAATTTGCCATTGTGACATGCCCAGAGAACAATAATTTCACACAAGGCTGTATATTAGAAATAATTTTGGAACAGACTTGAATGACCTCAATTTATTTTGCTATAGATATGAATCATAAATAGTGAAGTTGAGGAGAACCAGGAGCCTGTGACTCTGGGTTATAAACTGACCTCTTGCGTCGTGGCTGCGCTCTCCTCCGTCTCCTCCAGTTCCACAGGATAGGAAACCGTTTTGCTCATTCCAAGATCCGTGTTTTGTGTTTGTTTGGTCTCAGGACTGACGGTCTCAGGCAGGGTGACGGGAGGTTCCTCCTCCTCCTCCTCCAGGCAGAAGGCCTGGATGTCAGGGCAATGAACAGGCTCCTCCTCCTGTTTGCCTTTTGGAACCGGGCTACACAATAATACCACACATACAGTACAGTGATGAATTTGTTGGAGGATGAGAGAGCCGTCTCCCCTCTCACATGTTTCCAGCATCTCACCTATACCTCTGTTGTTTCTCTGCTGAACTCAGAGTGCGAGGGATGCTGGACTCTGACCTAAATGGCGGCCTGAAAGTCCTGTTCTGATTGGAGGGGGGCTGGAAGGCGAAGGTCCTGCGCTTAAACAAGGTGGGTAGGGTGGAAGGGTTCTGTGCAGCCAACTGCTGGAGCTTACTGCTGCCATCATAGGGCATCAGAGAGTCAGCTGACAGCTTCTGAGGATGACTGTGAGAGAAAAACTATTAAATATTAACTGAATGATGATCAGACCAAAACCTGCACTCATGTGTACATAACAGATCAGAGAATCTGATCACTCCAAGCAACCAGGGCAATTTAACTTAGTTCTTAACCAAGAAAAGCAAAAGCTCCGCCCTCCTCTTCACAGAGTCCCACCCCTCCCCACTCAGCCCAGCAGCTGCAGCTGCTGCAGCTGCAGCAGCCATTAGCAAACAGCTGGCGGAACAGTGAGCCTGCTGCGCTCATCATGTACATGTCCTGATATGACTTTTTCATTTCCAATACAACAGATATTGCAGCTTTCTCATTTACTTAATAAAACATCAGCAGAAATCAAACATACTTTATTGCTTACTTTAAGTAGTTTTATATGCCGCTGAGTTATGTACAGCATTTTTATAACAGGAAGTAACATAGTTACATGACTGACACTATATTCTTGGAAAATTCACCATACTGCTCCTTTGCAATTAACAAATATGTAGATTCATTTCCAGGGTTTTTAGGCTCGAGTGGAATGTCAATTGTTTACGTTTTACATTTTTAAAATTTGCTCGTTTATTTCAAAACAATCAGGACCCAAAACTAATGCAGCACACATTAATGAATGATGTCAGATTGATTTTCTTTTACAAGCCAGCCAGGAAAATATCAGGATTCCCAAGAGTCAAAGCAGTGATTTAAAACATGGATGTGGTGTATGTACCTCTCTGTGCTGCTGTTTGTCAGTCTTTTTGGCTTCATCACCGTGGATACACCTGACGAGGAAATTCCAGATTAATAAACTAAGAATTACATCACCCTATCCATAATCTGCCACATTTCTATATGAACAGAATATTTTAGCACAAGATGTAAAATCAGATTTCATAACTGATAAAACATCAGCCTGAAAGCTCAGCGTGCGTTCTCACCTTCTGCATCGTCGGCCATCTTGGGGGTCAGATAAACCAATCCTCTGGATTTGGATCTGGTCTTCGCTCCACTCCGCAGCCCGACTGAGCCAGTTTTCTTCGTGGGGGTTGGTTGGACTGGTGTGGACTCTGCTCTCTTTAACGGTGTGGACCCGGCAGCGTTAGCTCGCTCCGTGTCAGGAGGCTTTTTGGCCTGAGAGGGCTGGGAGCGAGAGCCGGTTCTGGAAGAAAGTGGCTCTGCCGAGGCAGAGAGAGTGGACCGACGAGGTCTGCTGAGACCCGGCTCTCTGCGGACACTGCTGGGGACGGGGCCACTGGAGCTGCTCACCCTTCGGTTAAAGGAGGAGTTCAGTTTGCCTGGGTGGACACAGAGTGGATCCACAGCAAATTTGGTTTTCATTAAAAGTTTTGATTAAACAAACAGATTTTATTGCTGCTGATTGGAGAGATGAGGCACTTTTTTTTCTTTAACCTCTTAAAACCCATTCAGGTTAAAAACAGTTTTCAAAAGAAGCTCTGCCCAAGAGGCAGAAACAAAAACACAAAAAATACAGTTAAAACGTAGTCTTTTAACTGTTTAAGCCAGGGGTGCTCAAACTTTTTGAGACCAAGATCTACTTTTTCTCTCACCAGCCGGCTGAGATCTACCTCATGACATACAAATTATAAATGAAACCCTATTGACTAATTTGCTATAAAAATATCCATCAGTTATAGCAGAAATGATAAAGTGATAGAAAACCTAATGCAGTTTCTTCCTCAGTGAGATGTTGACACTGGGAGCAGGTTACTGGTTTCTCAGTCAGAAGCTGGTTGTAAACCTGAGGTCAGCAGCTGTCAGTCAGTTATGACAGATCTGAAATTTGGTTTGATGACATCACTATAAGAAACTGCAGACTGATAGGAGGAACCAAAGAGCTCTGCAGAGGTAAAGGCAAATCTGCTGAATTTGGAACATAATTAATGTAATTTGACACAATTATTGTGGTAGAAGCCATTTGTTTGTTAAAACTTAATCAAATATATTTGTCCTATTTGATGTTTGTTGTGATGTTTATTGCAAACGAATGAGGTCATTAGTCCAAGTCTGTCGTTTATTGAACGTTCAGAAACTCAGCGGCTGTGATGAACCACAGCGAAGGTAAACAAAGGTAAAATAATCCGAACAACTCAGAACCTCTCGCACCGTTTCACTCTCTCTCTCTCTATTGTTAAGCACACCCGTCGCCGTGGCAACCGCCTGCGCCCGCAAGCCGAGCAAAGATTACGTTAAAAATGTTCAGTCCGTTACGATATCAGGTTTCAGGCTTTATTATTATTTAATGAAGCTATAAACGTTTTGGATCTTAGTAAATATTTTGAAAAGTCTGTCAGAAGAGGAAGTGCTGCTCTCAGCGTCCTGGAGGCCTTCAGTTTGTCACCTGCTGCCAAGATCGACTCAAAACCTCGATCGACCGGTAGATCGCGATCGACCGGTGGATCGCGATCTACCGGTGGATCGCGATCGACCGGTGGATCGCGATCGACCGGTGGATCGCGATCGACGTTTTGGGCACTCCTGGTTTAAGCTATTAAAAAAAAAAAAAAAAACCTCAAGATTCTGCAAGATTAAAGCTTCAACCTACCAAATCCAATTTCTCTCACAAAACTAGAATAAAAATATACCAGTTTTCCTTCTACTTTTGGAAAAAAAAAGCATTAACAATATTTGTTAATTGTTAAAGTCTATAGATCAAAGTTTTAATTTCTGGTCAGAATATAAACAACTTCCTGATGCCTTTCTTCACACATCCAGTGACATCTTAGAATTTACGTACCTGTAGCCGGGGACTGGGATACGCTCGAGTTAAAGCTGGACAGTGAGGATAAGGATGAAGAGGTTTTCCTCTTTTCTGTGACCTTCCAGCCCTGAACAGGTGGAGCTTTAATACCTGAGAGCTTTCTCAGTCCAGCATCCTGTCAGAACAGAAACAACAAAAAATTTATTTACACAAAGGGTTAATGGAAATGGAAAAGAAAACACAAACAAAGGCTTATTAAACTTAAATGCAAAGTGTACAGATTTATGAAAGGTTTTAGTTTGGGCTGCTCTGACTTTTTTTTTCCAGCTCCTGGCCTTTTGTGAGTCTGTGTACTAAAGTTAATGACTAATCAATTACTAAATTAGTTGACAATTATTTTAATAACCAATTCTTCGCAAATAATCGTTTCAGCCTTAATTTCATCTCAGCATGTGCACTGATACGGTTTTCTGACCAACAGAAACAACAATGGGAACCACAGTATGATGTTGGAATTATAACTACATCTTATCAAGCTGCAGCACTTTTTTACTAGTTGGGATAAAAAAAATAAAAATGCATAAAACGCTTATCTGACAAGAAATTGGAGGTTTCTTCAATGTGTTGAAATACAGACTGTAACAGGAGAGCCTTCCTGCCCACTGCGTCACCATCTGCAATAAGTCTTGAATTAAATGAGTTTCAATAACATTTAATATTCAGTTGGGTTCAATAAAGCTCCTTTAAGCTTCATTAGTCTTAGCGCCACACTCAGAACATGTCACAGTCAGAAGTAGGGAGGTTTTCATGTCAGTTTCAAAAACCACATACATACAACCAACAAAAACCATGAGGTCAGCGCAACCCCGCTGGATCGGAAAAAACTTGTGGGATCCAAAGACAGCAGGAGCGCTGGGTCATGTGGTACCTTAGAGGGTGGGACCAGTGAGTGCTTCCCCAGCAGACTGGAGTTGAAGGAGCAGTTGCTGGTATCAGACGCCATGCCCACTGAGTCAGACAGCAGATCTTCTGATGACTCTGCCTGGTTTCTGAGACGACAGCCTGGGCTCCGCTTCAAAACTCCTGCACTCTGAAAACAAAAAAATAAAAGCATCAAATTCTCACATGTTAACATTGTTCTTTTTGTTTTTGTTACTCAAACTGCTGCAAGACTAATAGAAAAGCCACTCACTCCGCTGGGTGGATGGAGTCTGGTTTTCTCTGCTCCGCTGCTCATGGCTGAACGGGAACCTGCTGGGGCCACTGGTTTACTTGGCAGCGCTGTGGTGGCCCCCAGCGCCGTCTTTCCTCGCAGCGCTGGTCTCGCCTGAGATCTGGCTCCGACCATGGGGCTGGAAGTGACACGTCTGGCAGCAGGGCGGCTGGACGAAGCCCTGCTGGAGCTGCTCCCTCTCAGCAGGTGGTGCTGGATGGCCGGTGGCAGCTGCCGCAGGGGACTGTCCTGTACGCAGAACGTCTGACGTTTGATGGGGCTGAGGCTGCTGGCAGTGTGACCCAGTAATCCTAGTTTGACTTCAGTGTTCTGGGTGAATTTCTCCGTTGCCACCATGCTGTTCATGTCAGCATCAGAGGTTGCGTGGGTTGTGTTGGTGTTCTGGACGTGTGGTTTTCTGCACTGCAGCTGGCTGACGAGTCTGTGGGCTTCCTCGCACACAGCTTCCAGTTGATCAGCAGTCAGTGGGGTCCAGACCGCCTGCACGCCTCTGCCACCTTCCTCAGCCTGGAAGGATACGTCAGTGGAAACACACTGCTCTGTGTGGCCCACAAACACCTCATCATCATCATCATCATCTACTCCTTTGGAGCTGTCAATGACAAATATTTCACAAACAAACACAGCTGTGATGAAGTGAAGCAAGATGACAAAACATGAATGTTTTCTTTTACAAACGTGTTCTTTACAAGGGATTATTAACATAACCTGAAGGGGGTTTAAAGTTGCAGCATCAACTTTTACAAAATAGTTTTTTTTTTTTTTTTTACATATTTGTTAAAATTGTAAAAAACAATTGTTGTGACAGCATATTGTGAGACAGATAATCTGTGAAAAGATCGATCTCCTCCGCCTCCTCCCTGAGCCACTCCTGACAATAAACAACCAATCAGAGCCGGGGGGAAAGGTCTTTGTGCTGTCAATCAATCTCATGCACTTGCTGCTAAATGTGCTAATGGTAGAAATACAACGTACTGTTCCAAGAAAACCACTTACTAACTAGCCTTACCATTTACTACAGGCTAGCTGCAGAGGAGTAGAGAGAAAGTCTCACGAGATTGTGACTGACAGCGCTAAGCCACGCCTTCTTTATGTGATTGGTTGTTTGTAGTTAGCACTGGGAGAAGGCAGAGCCATTCTGTCACAACAGTGACATTTTTTACAAATGAGTAAAAAAATAAATGAATTAATTCTAGAAAAGTTACATCTTTAAAGAAGTTTTTAGCCAAATGTTAACAGAGTTATTTATTTGAGGATTTGTGGTTAGTTTTCATCCTGGGTGAATGAAATCAAAATTCACAATATATTCAATTCTTTGACTTCTACTAAAGACCAGTGGAAATATATGTTGATAATAATAAATACATTATGTTTGAAAGTGCCTTTTAGGCCTCTCAAGTTTAAAACAAAGTGGAATAAAAGTACAAAAAAGATTATTAAAAAATGAACATAGGTGAAAGCTCAGAAAAATAGGCGAGGCTAAAAAGGTCATTTCAGAGTAGATTAAAACAGAACATCCAACAGAGGTTAGAGGGTGGAGTTGAGTTTGGTGGACAGGTAGAGCTGGGTGTCATCTGCGTAGCAACAGAAGTGGACACCAAATGTACCAAAGTTGTGACCCAGAGGTGGACAATAAAACATAGGGAATACCAAGGCCCAGTGGATGGCTGGGAGTGAAAAGACTGAAACTGAATGAACCAAGTGCAGCCAGAAAAATACGATTTGACCCAGTCTGAAGGAGTATTGCTTTAATAGTTATCAGAGCAGTTTTGGTGCTGCAAAGGAGACAGAAACCAGATGAAAACGCTTTTTATGAGCTAGAATTTACTTAGTGTAAATACAATTGACTGCCAAGAACTCTATTTATTTAGTTTTTTTAAAAACTGAGGTGAAAGTATATTCTGAATATTTATCAAGGCTATTTATAAGACTATTTAACATATGACAATTACTGCAAAAATGATTACCCAGTTTATCAAACAAACCAAAACTATTTCCTTAAAGACTGAACATTCTACAGAGCTGTCATAGAAAATACAGATTACAACAATCTATAACCAGGAAAGTGAATGAGAGAATTTATTATTATCAAATAAATAAATAAATGTACTTTATACTGAGGAGCTGTTTGAGAACTACTGGGAACTGATTTGTTACAAAGTCAAATTCTACCAGAGAAATACAACTTCTGCCAATGAAAGATTTGAGGGTTTAGAAATGAAAACTCTCACCTGACAGGCGACAGGGACACGTCGAAGTCAAACTTTTCATCTTGCAAAAAGCACAGATCTGTTCAGACAGGACAGCATGGTGAAAACACGAAGGAAACACAGCAAGCAGCAACAAGCAGTAGAAAGCTGCAAAAACAGCAACAGCACAGAAGCAGCAACAGCAGCAGAAAGCAGCACAAGCAGCAGAAAAAGCAGCACAAGCAGCAGAAGCGCAACAAGCAGCAGAAAGCAGCAACAAGCAGCAGAAAGCAGCAACAAGCAGCAGAAAGCAGCAACAAGCAGCAGAAAGCAGCAACAGCAGCAGCAGCAACAGCAGAGAAAGCAGCAACAAGCAGCAGAAAGCAGCAACAAGCAGCAGAAAGCAGCAACAAGCAGCAACAGCAGCAGAAAGCAGCAACAAGCAGAAAGCAGCAAACAGCAGAAAGCAGCAACAAGCAGAAAGCAGCAACAAACAGCAGAAAGCAGCAACAAGCAGCAGAAAGCAACAGCAGAAGCAGCAACAAGCAGCAGAAAGCAGCAACAAGCAGCAGGAAAGCAGCAACAAACAGCAGAAGCAGCAACAAACAGCAGAAAGCAGCAACAAGCAGCAGAAGCAGCAACAAGCAGCAGAAAGCAGCAACAAGCAGCAGAAAGCAGCAACAAGCAGCAGAAAGCAGCAACAAGCAGCAGAAAGCAGCAACAAGCAGCAGAAAGCAGCAACAAGCAGCAGAAAGCAGCAACAAGCAGCAGAAAGCAGCAACAAGCAGCAGAAAGCAGCAAGAAAGCAGCAACAGCAGCAGAAAGCAGCAACAAGCAGCAGAAAGCAGCAACAAACAGCAGAAAGCAGCAACAAGCAGCAGAAAGCAGCAACAAACAGCAGAAAGCAGCAACAAACAGCAGAAAGCAGCAACAAGCAGCAGAAAGCAGCAACAAACAGCAGAAAGCAGCAACAAGCAGCAGAAAGCAGCAACAAGCAGCAGAAAGCAGCAACAAGCAGTAGAAAGCAGCAACAAGCAGCAGAAAGCAGCAACAAGCAGCAGAAAGCAGCAACAAGCAGCAGAAAGCAGCAACAAGCAGCAGAAAGCAGCAACAAGCAGCAGCTGACTTACCGCTATGAGCTCCACGGTTCATCTCCTTGTGCGCAGCCATTGATCCAGTTCAGATCTAGTTACACGGAACTCTGACATTAGACTGACATGACAAAACTTCAAGACACTAACGGGTGGTTTAAACACGAATGCTAAGCACAATTATTGACAACAAGTGTTTTGTTTTTCTTTACCTCAAAGCTAATTGTACGTTAGCGTGCTAACTCGTTTCCAGACATTAAGTAGTAATCGATATAAATAGTGACTCGGAGATTCTCACATCAATTTAATCGACCGCAACATGGAAATGACAAACCACCCGTTTGTTAACAACGTAAATCATACAAACCGTAAATTCCTCTTAGATTGTTTCTGTCCCGATTTAAACTTCCACTCAACACCGAACAAATAATTCAAATCTCCTTCGCTCTGTTCATGTGACAAACAACTCTTTGCCATTGGCTGAAAAGTTATGTGACGAAGAACTGAGGGGAATTATGGGTTTGTAGTCCTGTTATGAAACCACAGACGAATTAGAAGCCTGATAATATATAACTTGGTTCTAAATAGCAGGGATTTGTCCCCCTTCTCTTTAGACTGTATTAATTATATTAGCACACGTCGTGAATTAATTATTACATTTTCCTCTGTTGGATGTATTGTAGGGTTAATTAAAAACGCACCACAGATACCACCAGGTGGCAGCATAGTTTAAAATGTAGCAAATTTATTCTCAGCTGACAGGAACCTCAGAGGTCAAAGCACACAGAGTCACAGAACGAGGTGACGTTTCAATACAGAACATCATGTCTCAGCTTCCAAGATATATACAGTATCAGTTACCAGTTGTATCATGTTAAACCCTTTATAGTAAAAAATATTTAAACCTTAATGAAGTATTACTAATGCTTTCACCTTTTCTGTCTAAGTAAACTTTTATTTCTTTTGCTTTTAAATAAAAATAAATATCTTGCACATGTTATTATAAAAAAATATAGATCAGCAACTTTTTATAGTTTAGTTATGAATAGGTGACTATTATTATTCTATTATCAATATTATTACTTTTATTATAAAGACTAACTGGATACAATGGAATTACAACTGATTGAAAAAGAGACTCAAACTAAAGCTTCCAACTTATTTGCTATCTCAATTATGTTTCAGAAAATAATATTGTTCATTACTTTCTTATTATTAATAACTGACATTTGAATGAAATAGTGAAGATCATCTCCAGCCCCCATTTCAATATTCTGAAGGAAATAATTAGCAAACCAAAATATTGAATTTTGATGCCAATGTACATTTGATGCCAATGTACATCAAAATACCAATACTGTGTCGGTATACAAATATACCGATACAAATACAATATTTTACAAAATCATTTGCAAATGAAGCATGCTTGCATCACTGCTCTGCTTTTGGTGATGTCACGCTTGGATGCAGCTGCCTGTTGCATTTGAAAATCAAATGCCTGCATTTGAAATGACCATGGGAATTTCTTCCATGAAGCTCTCTATTAGCTAATTTTGAACTCATCTGAAGTTGACTTGTAGCAACTGACTCTGCAGAGTGTCTGCAGACCATGTGACTGGGCATCTATTGAACACGCACTGTGATTTTCCATCCCATTAGTTTTCATGGCTGAGTTGCTGTTGTTCAGTTAGTGGTTATGATACCACTAACTGTTCAGGTGACTGTGGGATATTTAACTGACTATAAATGATGTGACAGGACTGTCACATCATTTATAGCCAGTTAAAGAAAGGGATGAAGTATTGTGGAATTCATTGAGCTCCTAAAAGGGAGCCCGTCTTTCAAAAATAGAAACAATCTGAATGCCTATAGGTACTTGATTTTATACACGACTGGAACATGTGGATTAAACCAATCAGAAAGGTGGCTCAAATTGGAAAAAAGGGGTTTGTCAAATTAAGTTAAAAAAAAAACAACTTTTCTTTTGTTTTGGCTCAAACCACTGCTTATTTTACATTTGATTCTGTGACACTTTTCTCTTTTTGTTAGTGTCTGTCAAAATAAAGACATTTACTCTGGCTGATTCTCAGAGGTGATCTGAGTGACTGAAGGTTTAGTTCTTCTTGTCACACCCTGTGTTTCTGAAACATCCCAGTAACTGATCGCTTCATTTTATGACTCGAGACTTGAAGTAACCCAGGCTAATAAGCTTGGTAGTCCAGCCATTTTTCGCACACCCACTCACCCAGCAGTCAGTTTTTGATATTTTAATGACAATGTTCCTCCAACTAAGACATAAAAAACACAACATTAAAAAGAAACAGACATTTTCTCCAAAGCTGTCTGACTACCGGATGAAACAAATAAAACACACCAGATTTTTAGTCACTTACTCTTGTGGTTACAAGTTAACACAGAAACAATCTGAACATGTCTCTACCAGAACTTAGCTTGACAGAAACAATGTTTTTAAAATAAACTCTGCTACATTGAGAATATTTACATATAAAACTGAATTTGAATTTACACAAATAACCTCACAAACACTCGTCTAAATTACATATGCAAAGTTCAGATCTAGTAATAAAAAAAATGCAGTCTGTGTGAACATGGGTTCAGACTGAACAGAACCACAAACACTTGTGGACCCATTACTGTCCCTGGGAAGTCCTGAACCAATCAGAGGAGTCAGTTTTGAAAATGTTCAAAATGACAACAGGAAGCGGCTGCTTCAGAGGGAGGTCTCCAGACTGTGCAGGGGGCTTCCTGGACAGGGAGGCAGTCCTGCCGAGTTCAGCGGGATTAGGCCGGACCGGGAACCATCTCTGTGCAGCGGGGTGATGCGCTCCAACGCGTTGTTGTTTTGGCTGGGCGAGGATGGAACAAGCTGCAGGTTGGACAGGTTGGACAGTCCGGTCAGCGTCAGCGGAGGCGGAATGACGGAGTTCCGCTTGGTGGGTGGGTCGTCCTCGTCCTCGTTCTCGTCAATAAGAGGGATCTGGGTTTCTAAGTCCTCGATGCGGAACTCGGGGTGACTCATGAAGTTGTGGATGGAGCTGCGTGACTCTGGCGTCTCCAGGCCCTCGTAAGGAGACACGCTGTCTCTGAAGGCGTTCACAACACGAATCTACGAGACAAGGAGGAGTGGAAGGTGATTAAAGGAGCATTTCAGAAAATAGAATCTTCACAACTCTTTAAAAGTTGCTGTATGTCACTTTTGTTATATAGTGACATACATACACACACACACGCACACACACACACACACACACACACACACACACATATATATATATATATAATATATATATATATATATATATATATATATATATATATATATATATATTTTTTTTTTTTTACTCTTACTTGAGTATTTTACTTCTACTTGAGTAAAAATGTGTTGAATTAGGACTGTCCTTACTTGAGTCCAATTTTAGGGGCTCTGTACCTAATTCCATGCAACCTCAATCTGTTTCTTTTTTAGTAATTATATTTTTTTAGAAATCAAATTTTGGTCAATCTGTAGAGTTTGTGGACAGTTTATATTCTTAATCAGAGTATTCTAAATAAATCTGTGGCCATGTTGAAACCTTTTGCCATTGCTATACATTTGAAACAAGTAACAGGAATAAACCACATTTTGAGAAATCTTTTCTTGCATGACTACAACACACAGAGAGTTAGCTAAAACCTTGTCATCACACCAAAACAACAGAAGTCTTTTCTCGAGCTGTGGCGCTCTACCTGCGTCTGGATCCGGTTGAGGCTGCGGCACCACAGCGCCTGACCCCTCCTCAGCTCCATCTCAGCATGGTCGATCTCGTCTTTGTCTTGCAGCTCCTCCAGCTCCTCCTCAGGGATCTCCTCCTGCTGGGTGCCATGACCAGCTGTTTTCAGGAACCGCAGCCAGCTGGTGGGAATACTGGACACCAGCTGGGAGAGGAGCAAGATTACAACTAGTCAGAAACACAACAACAAACTCCACTCTGAGGTCAGCTGGGGAGACCAGATGACCTGCTTTGTTAAGATGCAGGTCATCTTAACAATGGTTTTCTGCATTGTGTTGACGGCCAAAATTCTACAAGATTAACGATTGAAATAGAATTTCAATTATTTAAATTTCAAATGATTAATCATATAAAGTAGGCGCAGAAAATACTTAACTATTCCGTTATGTTTTTGTTCACATGTGAGTCGGATGTCAAAACTATTTATTTCCTCCTCATATAGAAAGTGACGTCACAACAACACAACGTTACACCAGACAACCACAGCAGATGCTGTTATAATACGACCGGCTCAGAAATGACAAAAGGTACATACTTGTCTTCTGTAATCTTCAGATCAATAAAATCCTGATTTATGACTTAATGTCATTTTTGACACAAGAGAACTTCAAAACGTTTCAAGAACTAGGAGAATTACAGCCAAATTATGTCCTCATAATCTGAAATGCAATGAAATGGTTCATTGCATTTCCCCAACGGTCGAGTTTAAATTTCTGCTGCACAGAATGTGCATTTTAAAAAAGTTTTCTGTGGTTCTACCAGTTTAAATTAGTCATATATATATATATATATATATATATATATATATATATATATATATATATATATATATATATATATATATATATATATATATATATATATATATATATATATATATATAATTATTATTTTTTTTAAATATATATTTTTTTGTTAATTCTGCCAGTTGTTGATGCACTAGAAGCCTTTATTGGTGTATAATGGTGTAATCCATGCTTTGTGTGGAGTTTTCCTTTTGAATTTGTTTTAGCTGATTTAATATTAGTGGAAATAAAAAAGAATTTTGATTCACATTTGAGGATCTCTAATCGTTTGAGCCCAGGGTTGCCCTGTGTAACTTAGCAAAAAAACAAGAGCTGTAAGCTGTAAGTTTGAAAGGCCTTGTAAACTTAATCTTTGAGAACCTTTGGATTTGTTCAGGTTCAACAATCTACTTGTTAGTTTTGTCTATCAACAACAAAAGCAAAGCTGTGCACTAACACTTCAAGAGTTATGAGAATTGAATTCTAGGACCAAAATGACCAAATATATTGCTCGTTTGCACAAAGCAAATGGAAAGAAATGTGTTTTAAACTCAACATAATCTTCTCCAAGTATGAAAGAAAACTTAATTTTAAGGACACATTCACTGTAATTGCCATGAGATCTGTTTTCGGTCTCTTATTTACAATTAAAATAACATTGGCCAACAAGAGATTATCCTACCTGCCCCCAAATGAGACTACCAAGGCCCAGGAAGACGCACCAGAGCCACTGTTCTACGGTCAGAGGCACACAGCTGAAAGCTTTACCACCAAAATGCACAATAACCACCTGGAGAAAATGGAAAACAAGGTTTGATCCGCTCACAGTGTTGATTCACCCAACGGTACAAACTCCTTGCCAGAGAAGGGGTACCTGCACAATAAGGGTTCCCAGGATAATGGTGCAGAAGATGGGGTTGTTGAAAACGCCCTCGAAGACGTTTCGTTCTCCATGGATCTTGCGAGCGTTGAACTCGTTGAAGATCTGCATGAGGACGAACGTGTTGAACACAATGGTGTAGTGTTCAGAGGGCGGAGCGTGAAGCGGGGCGTTCCTGCCAGAGTCGATGTCGAACATCTTCTCACCTACAAAAGGAAGGGATGAAGATCAATGTCCTACAAGGATTTTACAAATCACCCAAAATAAATGAATAAAAAATGTAGCTGATCAGTCTCTTAATAAGTAAAAATCTAACATTCTCTATAATGTCTAGTTTACTAAAGGGATACTATTATATATTTTCTAACAACATTGTACCATTTAACTGTGTTATTTTCAGTTGTCATAAAAATTTTATTTCTAAAACGTACGATTTAAAAGAGACCTTTTGACTTTGTAATTTAATGCTTTGAAATTGGATCTCTGTTTCTTTAAAAACTCCTGCTCTTTCTGAAACTCTGCCTTCAGGAATCATCACAATATGGCTCCTCTTTTAATCCTTTAATAGAATTTTACCAGCGTTTCACTGAGAAGTAGCTCCTACAATGAGCTCAGTTCCAACAGATGTTTTCTAATTGCTGCTGGCTAGTCTGAAGGAGCTGAGTGAGGGAGTCATGGGGAGGGAAGCACTTCTCCAAGGAGGTCCAACCAGGTGTTTAACACAGCTGAATGGCTGCCACTGTAGATTAAAGGTTCTCTCAAACGTGCATGAAAGAATCAAGGCAACACTTCTGGTATGTTTCTGATGAAGGAGTAACATTAAAACATGATGGAAAGCTCAAAAAAAGTTGCTTTTACATAATACTGATCCTTTAAATCTCTCTGCACTCAAACATACAAGAATCTGTGTTTTGACGGACCGACAAAGAGCAGCGTGAAGATCAGTGTCAGCTGGTAGACGGCGTGGCCCAGGATGTTCTTCATCATGGTGCGTGAGATGAGCGGCTTGTTGCGCCCGTACGGGTTCCTGAGCAGCAACGCCTCGGTCGGCGGCTCCGTGGCGAGGGCCAATGAGGCGAAGGTGTCCATAATGAGGTTGACCCATAACATCTGCACAGCTTTCAGAGGAGAATCCTGGAAATGGACACACAGGTTAACTGTTTAGGTCTTGATGATTCTGTGTACATTTTTTCAGAGAATGACATGAGGCCAGGTTAAATCAAGTGAGGAAATGTTATTTTCATTGCACCTTAGACATAGTTAACAGAATCCTTGAGTAACCAAAGGGAAAACTGAACCTTTATTAAAATGCATCATTGTGATGACATAAAAATGGAAATATTTATGTATATGTAATAATTTTAAGTAAAATGCTTAAAATTTTTTACAGCTATATCTAGAATAGCAAGTAGTACATATGACATCTGTGAAATGTGTCTATTTTAATTTAGATTTTGCCATAGGTTCCCCAGTGAAAAGTCTATGTTAATACATGTTGATATTCTAAAACTGTTGTGTTTGTGGACGCCTGACCTGCGTAATGCAGGCTCCGGTGATGGCCACGGTGACAGCAACCACGTTGACTGTGAGTTGGAACTGCAGGAACTTGGAAATGCTGTCGTACACGTTTCGGCCCCACATGACGGCCTTGACGATGCTGGAGAAGTTGTCATCTGTCAGGATGATGTCGGACGCCTCCTTTGCTACATCGGTTCCTGCGATGCCCTGTGGATTGGCAGCTGAGCGTTAGGGCAGGACGCTTTTGAAGTGTTTTGTGAATATTTCCCCAGGAATGCCAACAGTGCATATCATTCAGGAATGTACCATAGCAAAGCCGACATCTGCTTTCTTGAGGGCGGGGCCATCATTTGTGCCATCTCCTGTTACCGCCACAACCTGCCTCTGCTCCAGGACTGTGCTGTCAATAATGCCTTTAAAACAAAAATAGGGGAAAGAACAATGAAAGTATTGAGTCGTTTCCACCCCACTTTTTGTCAATTTTACTCTCATCATTACAGAATTGTTCTAGATCAGCCACACTGCAGGGTTTTCTGCAAGCATGAACATCTTCATTTTGTTTTTCTTCAGCCATGTAAAGAAGAATTTGTGTTTTAGATCTTTGTCTTACTGCAGAACGCAAGTTTACTTCAGCTTAAAGTCCTGACCTAAACAGATGGCTGGTCGTTATCCTTCAGGAAGTTTTGGTTGACAGAATGTTATGTTCTGTGTTTTTCTGTGTGTTCATTTTGAGTTCTGTATTTCTGAGTCTTCTCGTTGTCCTGTCTTCCCCTTGATTATTCCCAGGTGTGTCTTGTTTCCTTGATTACCCTCAGTGTATTTAATCCTACCTGTGTCCTTGTTCCTTGTCGGGTTCTTGTCGTATGTCTATCGTGTGCTGTCTCTTAGTCCCTCGTTTAACCAGTTGATACTGGTGTTTGAGTCCTGGCTTCTGCTCAGCCGTGCTGCCTGGCTTTGGACTGTTCTTGGATTCTGTTTGGACTGTGTATTTTGGGATTATTCTTAATGAAAACCATCATTTTCACTGTAATCTGGGTCTGCTGCTCCTCTCTCACTGCTACTCACCACACAGCATGACACAGATTTATTTCATGGTTCCATTTATCACCTCCATACCATCATGCTTCCATCACCATATTTTACTGTTGGTATGGTGCTTGTTTTTCTGAATGCAACCTCTTGTGCTGTTTCTGAGGTGTGAAAGGTAGTGGTCTGAGTTGAGGAGAAAAAGAGGAGCTGTGTCACAGTAGCTGCGTTTCCATTACAAAAGTGTGAAAAAAATTTGTCAATGTTCTGCAAATGTCAAAAATGATACAATTTCACAAGAGCTTTGTTCAATAAGAAACAATTAAAATTACACATGAATAAGTTTGTTCATGCAATATCATGCTGCAGCCTCCAACTACTCCTTGTCCTCTTCTTCTTTGTGGTTTGTGTATCATCTGAAGATTCAAGAAAATCACTACATGAAACCTTTCTGAGAACATGAAGTAAAATCAAAAACCACTGCTGACCAAAATAAAAAGTAAAAAAAAAATTATAAATACAGTGGGCCCATCTCACATTTACTAAAGTAACCTCTTGGAAGACCTTGAGGAATTCTGAAAGTAGTACTTACTAATAGAAGTACCAAAAACCTCAAGAGGTTTTTGGAAGATCCCATCAACAACCTGCTGAAACTGATAAAGCCAGAAATTCTGCTCTCTACCAGAAAATTGTGAAGGAGAAAGTCTGGCCATGACAACACTGTAAAACCTCTCAGGACCCCAGAGTGCAACTCTGAGGGACTCAAAAAGAACAAAATGAAGGTTAAAATCTGATTTAGAGCCTCTGGGTGGGCAGCCCATGCTCTGAACTCTCCTATGTGGCTGAATTAGAACAAGGTTGCTTTGGAGAGCAGGTCAAAATTCCTCCACGGGAATGTGAACAACATCCTTGCTGGTTTTTGTAAACCCAAGTAACAGCAAGGTCTGAGCTTGGTAACATCCTTCCTAAGATTCTAGCAAGGATGTTACCAAACATCCTTGTTGCTTTTCTTGAAAGCAACAAGAAAAGCAACAAGAAAATTTGTTGATTTCAAGAAAAGTAGTTGTTGCAAGAAAACTGCAACAACTGCTTTCAAGAAAAATCTTGAAAGAATTGTTGCAGCCAAGTGTGGTGGAATATCTCTCACAGCACTGCAGAAGTGTATATACTTGTCACCCCATTTTTTCTGGACTGATTTTTACTTCACTGACCTTTAACCAGAGTGTGTTTGTCCATTGGGGATGACCGGGCAAGGACTCTCAATTTGGGCCAAATCTTATCGATACGCTCCTGTTCAATCTGACGAGACAAAGGAGAGAAAAATCTTTGATCTGATTTGCTAACAGTCACGATAGAAAACTACACACAGGCAAGAGCAAAATTAGATTTTCACACTTCTTTGCTTCAAGCCTTTTCGGTTGTCATTTGTCTGACCTCGCCTGATTCGTTGCGGATCCGCTGGTTGAACTCTTTTCCCTCTATGCACATGAAGTCATCTCCGGGTTGCAAAATGCCACATTTGGTGGCGATGGCTCTAGCAGTGTTAATGTTGTCTCCGGTCACCATGCGGACAGTGATGCCAGCCCTCTGGCACTTTCTGATAGCTTCTGGTACCTTAGGGGAACAATGAAGAACAGATACAGAGGGTCAACCCAGAGGTAAGTGCACCCCATGCACAGAGACACCAGTTGTTGAACTGCTCCACCATAAAATTACAGTAGTTTCATAATTGTGTCCTCAACATTTATTACAACAATGTCAACCAAAGTGATTTTATTCAGTTCTACCAGTTTCCCCGATACGCTCCACTCTGACCCATCATGTGAAAGTCTGTTGACCCCAACAGACCACGTCAACACCTTTCTTCTACTAATTACAGAACCCCTAAGGGAACGTGGGGAAAAATGTTTCTTTTGCGTTCCCTCGTAATAATGTACTGATCAGTTCATGCAGCAGAATTTAATACTGAAGATCTTTCTGATGGCGGCCATCGTACTTTCTGCTGTAGCACAAGGTTTTCATGAGGTTTTTCCAAGTATGTTAATGTATCGTTTGTGAGATAGCTGAAGTTTTATATCTTTTTTATGATGATAGAAATGCGCGACAAACCTATGTGCAAAACACAAAAGCAGAACAGGTTGAACACCCACTTTCTATCTCCCTTCTAAGATGTAAACAAACTTTCCGTAAGAATGAAAGAAAGAAAAAAATACGTCCAAACTATTTGGACTATTTCTGGGGTTTTTTCATGGGATAATAAAGGTTTTGATGAGGTTTTTTTGTGTTGGTAGTCTGAATGGTTAGTAAAAGGCCGTTTTCATGTGCAGCTTCATCTCTACGATTGCAGTAAGCAATATTAGTTAATTGCAAGGGAAAGCAAAACATACTGCAAGGTAATGCCAAAGAAAAAAATCCCTTTGTCTGCTAAAAAACTCTGTACCTAATGAAATGCAAGGTCAATTTGCAGGCCCCATTCCAACCGCATACGCAGAAGGAAGAATGTTGACGTGACAGCAGCACTCTGTTTATGGAAGTCATAATGGCTGGAGTCGTTAATGTATAGTTTTAGAGTTTATTCAGCAATGGGAGTTATTAGTATCGACATAAGATCATAGCAAGACAGAGGAAGCTAATTAAAAATAAATAAATGCACGTCTAATGGTGATGCTATTTTGTGGAGCATTCAATGCAGCATCTTTGTAGAAGTCTGTTTGGATGTGCAAACAGAATGAAGAGTGATGTGATGTCCTTTACTGACACAAACATCTTTCATAAGTTCATAATCATAATTTTCAACCATTTTTTATGTGGCAGGAAGTAGGTGGAGGCTGCACCTGCTGGAAGGGTGATTATCAGTGGGCCAATAGCAACGGAGTATGTTCAGTATAAAAGCTGAGGTAAGCTGTGGACTGACACTTGTTGCATCGCGCTTCCATGTTGGGCTGTTTGTATTCTGAATACAGGTAAGGTTGGCTGCCTGTGCATTTACAACTGTTTGCTCATTGTAGTGATAGAGCTTTTTATCAGCAGAGATGTATGTGCGCATTTACTTCCACCTTTGATCGTGAGTGGAGTGGTTCCTGTTAAGTGCCAAAGTTTGAATGCTCCTGTTTGGGTGGAAGTGAAAAGAGCTGAACCTGATCGGCATGTGGACTCAGTGACGAATCTTGTTTTTATCTTTTTGTTTTGAGTTGTTTTTCTTGTTCTGCATGTATATTAGGAGTCATCACTGTTGGTCACACACTTGACGCTGCTGTCTTGCCTGGACGGAGTGACCGCTGGTTTAGCGGTCAAGAGCCCCCCTCACCCCCTGAAATCAGAACAAGGAGCGGCTGCTGTCGTTCTGTTCCGGATTGGATCGTACCGTCCATCTGGTCCTGCCTGTCAAGCATAGGGATTTTATGGACTTCTTCATGGACATTTTTATGCCTCTTTTATTGTTTGTATTTTAACAATTTGTCTTTTTTGTTTGTTTTTCTAGACCGCCGGTGGTGCGCTCGGGCCTGGATGCGGCGTTCCTTTCCTGAGTGTGATTGTGTGGTGATTAACACCAATCGGTGGAGGGAACTACAAGGACTGAGTGATTCACGGGTGTTTGTTTTGATGGTTTGTGTTCTTTGTTTTGTTTGCTTTGGGACCTACCATCCAGGGCCTGGTCGTATCCACTGGTAAGCCTAGCTGGATTTATTTTGTGACATTCCTGTTTGCTCAGGAATAAGTATTTTTTTATGCTAATAAATTATGATTGACTTGAAACCTATCTCTTGCTGATTGCAAAACTGGACCTGTGTCCTTAATTGTTAGTTCCTGGGTGGAAACCCCAGGTGGCGTTGTTGACAACAAACAAAATTAATTGTATGGTTACTCCGCTCTATGCCACATTTACATGTGGATTTACTGAGTCTGGCTGTGAAGAATGATGACGCATGTCTCATATCAGTGACATAGAAGTCAGATAAAATGCGACATGAGCGTTCTGACTGCAAACGCTTTGAAAACATCTGTATCAGATTTTGTACTACATATGGGAGAGGCTTAAAGCAGATTTTTTGGGGGGGGAGAAATTGGAAATGGGCCGTTCAGACTGTTACGAAAAAGTCAGTTACAGTTCGTATGTGGGCATGAAAAGCTACTTTGGGTCTCTTTGTGAATTAGAAAGCTCTTGGAAGTTGTAGCCATTTACCAAGAAAGATGACAAACCTCAGGTCGTACAGGGTCTTCAATGCCAACCACAGCGATGCATGTCAGTCTAGTGAGGATCTCAGCCTCGTTGTCCCAATCAGGCTCTCCATCAGCAATGGAGAAGTCTCTGTAGGCAAGACAGATCGTCCTCAGCCCCTCAGATGCCATCGACTCAATCACATTTTTCACTAGTTGGTCTCGATCCTTAGGTTTGAAGATCTTGGCCTCTCCAGTGGCCGTCAAGATTTTACTGCACCTGAAACCAGATGCAGCACATATGATCAGAGTATGACTCTGAGTGCAGAACTATGTAGGCAGAGGCAGCAGACCTACTTCTTAAGCAAGATCTCAGCGGCTCCTTTACTGAACATTCGGTAGCTGCCGTCAAAGGTCTTCAACACGGTGCTCATGGATTTCCTCACGGAATTAAAGGTGTAAACCTTGAACAGCTTCTCCTCTGGGATTTCATTTCGAACGTTCTGGTAGTCTCGGTTCAAGTCCAGACTGAATCCCAATAAGGCACATTCGGTCTTGTTTCCCACTTGGCGAGGCAGGCCACCCTCTCTCTCTGGAGGCTGTGGGAAGAAAGAAGAATATTTAGCTACACTGTATGCTTGAAACGGCGCAACTTCAAACAGTGCTGTATAGCTTTTATATATATATATTTTCCATTAGCCTCTATAAAAAAGTGATAGTATCTTTGGAAGAGAATTTTATCCTTATATAAATCACTTATAACCATGGACTTAAAACATAGAATTTCACTGGTCTGCAGCCAAAAACTTGTCTGGGGTTTTCCACAGTTTCAGGGTCATTTTGATGAGATGAATCCAAAAATCACATTGGTTTTGCTCAATCAGGTCAACTTCCTGAACTATGGAGCAACATGAGCATCAATCTGATCAATGAATGATGAGCAGGAGAGATTCCATCAGGACAGAAAAGAGATGGAGAATTTGACACAATGAAGACATAATGTTCAATTCACATGTACTTACCCTTATAGTGATTATTATACAATGTACAGAAGTCCATGTTTGACATATTTCTAAAGCCTTTTTTGGATGAAAAATATGCATGAAAATGAACTGATGTCACAAAAATGTGACATCAATTCAGTCAGAAGATCAGATTTCTCTAAATCAAATTACAATAACAACCCGATTGAGAAAAATTGATGTAATTTTTTTATTCAGTGGTGCAAAAATGACATATCAGTATATCAGCAACTCATATGGTATCAAGACTATATTTACCTCTGTCTGATCCTACATCATCAATACCACGTCTGAGGGAAATGATCTCTGTTTATGGTCATTTTTCTGGCTATAACATAAATGTTGATAAGACAGAGGCAATGGATGTCAATGGCAATATTCCACTAGGGTTTAAACAACAAAGCGGCTTTCGGTGGCCAAGGGAGGCCATTAAATACCGAGGCATCAATATTCCTGTCTCATTAAATGATTTGTATCATGTCAATTACAGCAAAACACTGGATATAATTAAAAAGGATCTAGAGCGATGGTCAGCATTGCCTCTGTCCCTCCTCGGCCGCATTGAAACCATTTGTATGAATCTGTTACCAGATTATTGTATTTGTTCCAGATGGTGCCGGTTATCATACCAAAATCCACATTCGTTGAATTGGTTAAAATATCAAAATTCATATGGCAAAGCAAGCGCCCTCGCATACAATATAAAACACTTCAAAGAAGTAAGGGGGTCTCAATCTTCCTGTTTTAAAATACTATTTTTAGGCAGCTCAGTTAAGGCCTTTAATTTCATGGATCCAACAGGATTCTCAAACAAGATGGCTGAGCATTGAGCAAGCAAAGTGCTCAGTACCATTAAAGGTTTTGCCATTTTTAGATATTCCAGTAAAGGAATTGCCTCTGTGGACTAAAACCACTTTTAACATTTGGAACAAAGTGCGAATTTCATTCAAGCTACCAAGAGGTTTATCAATATTAACAAGTATTGGACATGTCAAATCCTTCACACCCAATTTCTTCGACAGAAATTTTTCTAAATGGGCTGAACAGGGGCTTGTATTCATTCACCAGTTGATTGATAAGAACAGACTTATGTCATTTGAAGAGTTATGTAGTAAGTTTAATCTCCAGAAAAATGATTTCTTTAGACATTTAGTGTTGCGCTCTTTCTTGTCTGCACACAGGGACTGGGAAAGAATACTAAATCCCACACCAATAGAAAATCTTTAATCCATTTCCAGAAAGGGGATAAAAGATTGATAGCAAAGTTATATGGTGTATTTCTGTCAATGAACCTTAACAAACCCACTTGGACAAAGCAAAGATGGGAGGCAGAGACGGCCAAAATCATTTCTGATGAAACATGGGAGGGAGTCTGGACTGAAGCACATCGAGTTACAAACTCGAAAACGTGGCGGAAATTTAAATGGAAAATTATTAGCAGATATTTCAGGAGCCCAGATGTAGCTGCTAAGATGGACCCTATGGTTCCAGGCTTGTGTTGGAGAAACTGTGGCTCAGCAAACCCCAACCATACAACCATACACACATTTTCTGGTCATGCCCCAAATTTCAAAACTTTTTGGGATGAGGTGTACGGAGCTATAAGCTATATCTTACCAGGGGTTTTACCAAAGAATGTTACAGTTGCACTACTTGGTATTATACCAGAGGGCTTTCAAGGACGGACAAAAGTATATCTGCTAAATATCCTTTTTACAGCAAACCTGAAATGTATTACAATCAGGTGGATGCAATTGGAGCGACCTTCCTATGACTTATGGGTTCAAACAGTAAGGGAATTGTATAGAATGGAACAAATGACCTTCTCATTAAGACTTCAAAAAAACACTTTTAGTCTGCGCTGGCGTCCAGCAGAAGCTCTGTTGATGTAAATAAATCCAATAGGTTTGTCTTTTGGCATATGGGCTTTAACTATCCCACATTTCTGTCTATTAGTCTATTCCTATTTTAGGATTGTTTAGTAACAAATCTACAAATGTGATGCTGAGGCTGTAAGATATTATTCTGAAATATTTATTTTATGAAAAACTTTATATTGTCAACATTTATATTATGTACCACTGATGTATGACTATGTATTTGCTCTGTAAAAAATAATAAAAATGTAAGTTTTAAAAAAAGACTATATTTACCAATTAAATATAAGTCAAAAAACGGAATCAAGAGGCTTAGATAGAAAATGCACAATTGTTGGGTGTGGGCAACATGAACAGCAACATTCTGTAACAGTCAAGCAGAAATCTGCTGATCAGAAAAGAAACTTATCATTGCTTCCTAAATTCCTGGCTACAACCAAACCTGCTTTTCTGCTTTGTACTCTGGTCTGTCAAGTGCATCCTGCAGACTGTGATCTGATGAGTCCTGAGCTTACTATGGCTCATATTTAACCCACACAACTTCCTGAATGAGCAGCTATTTTTAAAGCTTACCATAATCTTGGTGGTGTAGGCGCAGTTGACCCCGATGCCCAGGATGAGCAGGTCCAGTATCTTGGTTGGGATGAGGTCTGGCTCTGGGACTTTTTTATAGTGTCTCCCTGCGATGTAGGCCTGCACCACCGTCATACGGTTCATGGTCAGCGTCCCCGTCTTGTCTGAGCAGATGGCTGTGGCGTTCCCCATCGTCTCACAGGCATCGAGGTGGCGGACCAAGTTATTGTCTTTCATCATTTTCTGACACACAAATAATAGAGAGAGCAGCGTTATTGAATTCAGATTCCGCAATCCATACTTCACTGTCTCCAGGAGTCACGATTTAAAACTCTTGCTGTGTGAATGAGGTATTAGGTATGAAGCAAAAATGTGTTATAACATGTTCTGGACTGATAAGAGGAAAATTGCACTTCTTGGTCTACATGAAAAAGACAATACATGGTATGTTTGTAGCAATGTCAATCATCCTAAGCTGACCATCCTGAAATTATGGCAGTGGTAGCATCATGCTTTTTTTCTAGCAATTAGTGGGAAGAAAATCTGTTAAGAGGTTCCAAAGACTTGGACCTGAAGGAGCTAATAACACCTGAGTCCACATAGGGATAAAAATCTTTTGCAAATCCCAATTCAATACATTAAGGTTTATGGTTGTAATATGACAAAATTAGAAACTGATTTATAAAAATTTTTGCAAGCTTCTGTAATACACAAAGCATATTAAGGACAGTCATGATGACACTGGCATCTGTTTTCATGCAGACAGAGGTGAAACTTTGCAAAACTAACCTTAACTGAATATGCTAGGGAAATGGTGACGGCCAGAGGGAGACCCTCAGGCACAGCCACCACCAGCACCGTCACGCCGATGATGAAGAACTTGACCATGAACTGCACATAGATGGAAACGCACTCTTGCAACCAGGGAAGACCCTGAATCCAGAAGGTATCGATCAGGAAGCGAGTGATTAGGATGATGACAGTGAGGGCCGACATCAACAGACCTGAAAACAAGAGAGGAAAAGAACAGGAAAAACAAAAACAAATGGATTGCAATGAGTGATGGTTAAAAAGCTTTTAAGATCTTTGGCTGAGGCTTTGTAGATGAGTTCTGCATCTCACTTCAGCATATCTTCCAACAGAACTATGGAAGCCTTGAAACACAAGACTTTTGACACATTTTTTAAATGTTCTTTTTCTCTCAACTTCAAAATTACAGGAAAATAAAGAAGAAAAAAAATCTAAATCAAATATTGTGACGCATTTGTGGGATGTTCTCAAATATTTTTTTTTCTCTAGAAGGGGAGCACAGAAAAATTATGATGTTCAAAAGTTGATCAACTGTGTTTTTATATCAAGCATTTCTCACAATAACAGCATAGTTCCTTAAAGTCTCATCCAACAAACTCTTCTCTCCCAACAAAGAGAAAAAGAAAAAGATGCCTTGTTTGGATGAGTAGAAAAAAAAAATACAAAAAAATGGCATGACAGATTATTTTTCCCTCTTTCCATCCAGGAGTTAAACAAGCAAAACAAAACAACAAAAATCATTTAATTTGGTCAGACTTAGAAAGTGAGTCTTCAAAAGATGTTTTTCTGCTTGGCTGTCAGGGTTTCCATACATAACTGATCCACAAGGATCCATATGAAACCAAACATTCAAACATTTTAAAATGTGTTGATTTTAAATTTAACTAATATATATATATTTTTTCATCCCAGGTGATTGAGACTTTTAGTCGTATGAAAATCCCAGCCACAAGCTGAATACCAGTTTGGCAGATTGTACCTGCTCTGCCAATCTGTACGGCCAATTTGGTCAGCTTTCCCTGAAGCACAGATTTCTCCTTCTTTGGAAGAACTTTCTTCTTCTTTTCTGGTTCTCCATCTTCGTTGAGTGGTTGCATCTCAACAGTAGCTCCGTCCTTGTTTTTCTCTATAAGGGACAATGGAAGAAGTCAATAAAGCATCCAAAATGAATAACTGGTTCAACATTAAAGACACTCTTTAAAAATGTATCAAAATCCCAATCATTTTTAGTTTTACTAAGATGAGAAACACAACTCATAACATGAAAATAAAGAACCATTTGAAAAGATTAAAATGCCAACATCTGTCTTGACTTCAAAATCAACTATAATCAGATTTAAGATCTTGAGACAACCGTTGTTGTGAGCTGGTTTCACGCAAATCCAGGTTTTTTGTTAGAGGGCTTATAAGGAAAAGGAAAATACATTGTGTCAACTCCATATATGCATTGTCTTACAAAAGCATTAATATCTGTTGAAGCATTGTATATGCTGCAGCTCCTCTCATTCAGCCTCCCCTTGTACACGTGCAGAGTAAAGAGTGTCATATTACAATCAATAAGTAACCTAATAAAAACCTATTTAAATGTGTCTTGAATCCATTACAACTTTAAATAAATACAGAAATCATTAATTAAATATATAATTAATTATATGTGCCTCAATTGAACGTTCTGATTTTATTTAAAAAATTATATAATTATTTCATGATTTAATAAATGACTTCCTGTGAACGAATTCATTAAAACACTGAGGTTTAGTGGGCGGGATCAGCTTCAGCTTCTGACTTCTGATTGGCTGCTTCAAACAGCAAGTCAAGACGACTTCTTCCAAGTTTGCTGTATCTGTTCTCTAATAATAAATAATATAAATAAATACTTTTGGGGTGACACCATGTAGACAGTAGCTGTCCAGAGTGCAGATCATCATAGTAACGTGTGCTAATCCCCGTGTTAGCTTGTTGTGATGCGTTAAGTTACAGCAGATCTTCAACCTGCTGTAACCACACTAAGTCCCGAACCACAGGACATCGTTTCCAGTTCCCAACACAAGCAGAAACACCAGCAGGATTACCCAGTACTGCTTTGTGCCACAGAGGTGGGGGTGTCTGCTGGGGTTTTTGTGTGTGTGTGTGTGTGTGTGTGTGTGTGTGTGTGTGTGTGTGTGTGTGTGTGCGTGTGCGTATGCATGTGTGTGCTAGCAAGCTGATCCCATTTTTGTAATGAGGTTATTAGTGGACAAGAAGGCACCAGCAGCAGGCAGGAGAAGAAAGCAGCTGCTGAGCTTAATGCCGATAATCTTCTTGCTCCTAATCACCATCAACAGAGTCAGGAGCACCTGCTGCTGCTCAGACCACACGGGCATACTATGGAAGAAACGCCACGTGGGATCACACGGAGCCTGGAGAGCCCTCCCCAGTCTGGGAGTGGAGGCAGGACTTTCCATGGAAGCACCACCAACATCTATGTTTCCTTTTTGATTGACCTCAGTCGAATCCAGCTTGTACTTCCTCACACGACACTAACAACAAAATAATGGCTGGTCAACAAACACAGATTAAAGTCGAACAGCCAGAAGCAGAGGTTTATAAGAACTATTCCAGTTGTGAGTCAGCAAGAGGAGTGAGAATTCACAGAGAGGTCACAAGGTCATTACAGAGCTCCCTTAGCAACATATCTGCCTAAAATAATGCCCATTAATAATTTTAATTTTTTGCCAAAAAGGGATATTGGTAAAAAAAAACATACTTTTTTAGGAATTGCTGAAGTATTATCACAAATCTTAAACATTGTTCATGTTTATTATTAATCCTGTACCAGAATGCATGTTGTTAGACAATATGTGTAAGTCTAAATACACCATGTTCCAAATTATTATGCAAATTGGATTTAAGTGTCATAAAGACTACATTTTTTGTTGTGCTATTAAATTTATAGATGTATTGTGCATCAGGGCTCTTTGAATCACTAGAATTAATTTCAGAGTGTCAGGTTCTGTGTTTTTTCTGTGTTTTTATTCCGAGTTTCTGTGTCCTGAGTTCTCCTCGTTGTCCTGTCTTCCCCTTGATTGTTCCCAGGTGTCTCTCGTTCCCTTGATTACCCTCTGTGTATTTAGTCCCTCCTGTGTCCTCTGTTCCTCGTCGGGTCCTTGTCGTTGTTTATCGTACTTTTGCCTTTGTCTGCCGTTGTGTGTTTTTTAGCCGCCTGTATGACCAGCTGCTACCGGCGTTGAGCCCTGGCTTCCGCTCAGCCGTGCTGCCTGGCCGCGGACTACGTCTTTGACTGTTTGTTGTTGTTATTGGACTATTTTTCATCATTAAATATTCACCATTCACCTACCTGGGTCGCCAGCGTCTGCCTCACCACCTCCACTACTCACCTCTTCATGACAGAAGGACCCGACCAGAAATACGGTGAGGCTCGCAGAATCAGATCATGGACCCAGAGGGTTTAGAGGAGCTACTCCGAACAATCCGCGAGTATGAAGAGTCAAGGAGTACGTCCACTTTCGCCCTGAGACGGCCTGGGTTCGCCATACGCCTGGGGCTTTTGTGGACTATTGGGTACCACGTCTCCAGCACCCAGTCCTGGTGGAGTTGCAGCGGGAGGCAGAGGAGGTGCGCCGGACAGCCTTCTCTGCCATGACTGCAAAGCCTCGGTCTTCCAAGCCGGACTTCCGCTCCGCCAGCCCAGCCCCAGCTCCATCCTCAGCTCCTCGTGCCGCTCCGCCGGCGTCTGTTCCTCGTGCCGTTCCTGCTCCGCCGGACCCCGCTCCGGCTGCCGCTCCTGCTCCGTCGGACCCCGCTCCGGCTGCCGCTCCTGCTCCGCCGGACCCCGCTCCGGCTGCCGCTCCTGCTCCGCCGGACCCCGCTCCGGCTGCCGCTCCTGCTCCGCCGGACCCCGCTCCGGCTGCCGCTCCTGCTCCGCCGGACCCCGCTCCGGCTGCCGCTCCTGCTCCGCCGGACCCCGCTCCGGCTGCCGCTCCTGCTCCGCCGGACCCCGCTCCGGCTGCCGCTCCTGCTCCGCCGGACCCCGCTCCGGCTGCTCCTGCTCCGCCGGATTCCGCTCTCCTGCTCCTGCTCCGCCGGATTCCGCTCCGGCTCCTGCTCCTGCTCCGCCGGATTCCGCTCGGCCTCCGTGGACTCTGCTCCTCGTGCCGCTGCTCCGGCAGCCTCTATCCGTGCTCCTTCCGAATCCCTAGTGCTCCTTCCGAGATCCCTAGTGCTCCTTCCGAGATCCCTAGTGCTCCTTCCGAGATCCCTAGTGCTCCTTCCGAGATCCCTAGTGCTCCTTCCGAGATCCCTAGTGCTCCTTCCGGATCCTCCCTAGTGTCCCTGCCCTCCCGTGTCCCCTAGTGCTCCTCCCGTGCCCCCTAGTGTTCCTCCAGTGCCCCCTAGTGTTCCTCGGCACCATGGACGCCCTCCGGACCTCCCCCGTGGGGTCTGCTTCTGGCGCCGCAGACGCCCTCCGGACCTCCCCTGTGGGGTCTGCTTCTGGCGCCGCAGACGCCCTCCGGACCTCCCTCAACGCCTCCGCCCACGTTGTGGGTAGTTTTTCTGTTTAGTTTTGGACTCTTGGCCCCTCCTTGTGTTTCCGCCCACCTTTTGTGGGTAGTTTTCTGTTAGTTTTTGTTTTCTGGACTCTGGCCCTCCTCCGTCGCCCCTCCGCCCACCCTGGTTTTGTGTTTTGGACTTTGTTTTTGGGCGTCTGGTAGCCGCCCTTTTAAGGGGGGGTACTGTCAGGTTCTGTGTTTTTTCTGTGTTTTTATTCCGAGTTTCTGTGTCCTGAGTCTCCTCGTTGTCCTGTCTTCCCCTTGATTGTTCCCAGGTGTCTCTCGTTCCCTTGATTACCCTCTGTGTATTTAGTCCCTCCTGTGTCCTCTGTTCCTCGTCGGGTCCTTGTCGTTGTTTATCGTACTTTTGCCTTTGTCTGCCGTTGTGTGTTTTTTAGCCGCCTGTGTGACCAGCTGCTACCGGCGTTGAGCCCTGGCTTCCGCTCAGCCGTGCTGCTGCCGCGGACTACGTCTTTGACTGTTTGTTGTTGTTATTGGACTATTTTTCATCATTAAATATTCACCATTCACCTACCTGGGTCGCCAGCGTCTGCCTCACCACCTCCACTACTCACCTCTTCATGACACAGAGAGCTGCTTGATTAGTTTGTCTGGTGAGCTCAATTAAAACAAATCTACTTAAGAAGGATGTTCCACATTATTAAGCAGGCCACAGGTTTCAAGCAATGTGGGAAAGAGAAAGGAACTGTGCTGATGAAAATCATCAGATAGTGTAGTGCCGTATGACAAGATGTGAAAATATTAGATATTTAACCAAAACTGAAGCGATATCGTACTGTGAAGAGATTTGTGGCTGACTCAGAACAAAGATGGTTTGTACAGATAAAGGCATAATGAGGAAGGTTTCTGTTAGACACATTCATGGGATTAAGAGAGCAGCTGTTGAAATGCCCTTAAAAAGCAGCAAACAGTTATTTGAAGCTGCTGCTGCCTCTAGAGCCTCAAGGTGGAGGATCCTCCAGAGGCTTGTGGTGCATCAACCTACTGTTGGGCCCCTAATCAGCACACAAGCAGAAACGGTCACAGTGGGCCCAGTCGCACATAAAGATTCATTTGTTCACTGATGACTGCTGTGCACTGATGACTGCTGTGCAACCCTGGATGGTCCAGAGGGACGCAGTAGTGGATTGGTGGTGGACGGCCACCACATCCCAACACAGCTGTGATGTCAGTAAGGAGGAGGTGGAGTCATGCTTTGGGCCCAAATCATGGGGAGAGAGAGAGAGATGGTCGGCCCCTTCAGAGCCCTGAAGGTGTGAAAATGACTGCAGCAAAGAATTTGGACTTTCTGACTGATCACTTTCTGACATGGTTTAAAAAGAAGAGCCGCACCTTCTGTAGCAAAATCATCTTCATGCATGACAATGAATACTGCAAGGAATATCACTGTGTCACTGGCTGCTATGGACATAAAAGAGGAGAAACTCATAGTGTGGTCACTATCCTCCTCTGACCTCTGACCCTATTGAGAACCTTTATAGTTTTCCTCATGCAGATCTGAGGTGGGATGCAGTTCATATCAACAGCAGCTCTGGGAAGATATTCTGACATCCTGCAAAGAAATTCAAGCAGAAACTTTCCACAAACTCACAAGTTCAATGGATGCAAATTGTGCAGGTGATACCAAAGAAGGTCCAATATTAACATGTAACTCTGTCTGTTAAGATGGTTTTGATTGAAATAGCTTTTGATTTTACTACACTTAATGCTGCACATTCAAAGAATGACTGTTTGCAGTTCTTTATAATTGTAAAATGTTTAGAAAATCTGCTGTGCATAATAATTTGGAACCGTGCATTTTGAGTTTTTCATGTTTGAAAAAAATACTGTTCTCATGGGGAACTTTGTTCAGTTAAATTTGATTTACACTGTAATAGATCATTACTGACCATCATTTGCATTGAACATTTAAGAAAATCTGAGAAAATATCACTTGCATAATAATTTGGAACACGATGCAAGAGGAAGAAAAGCTAAATACTGTATGTTGTTGTGTTTAAATCAATGCTTGTTTCTGATGCCAATTATGGTGTCAGGAAAGATTGATGGAAAAGAAAAAGGATTCATCCAGAGATGCTGCAGACTCTGCACATTGTAGAGCTCTCATAGTTGACTATCTCTATAAATGTACTTCTGCAGTCTTACAAACTGTACAATCATCTTTTGACCAGCATAAAATACACTGTGAACAAGGGGAGCAAATAGACAAAGTTACCTGCAGCACCAGTTTCCAGAGTCACGTGATTACCTTTCTCAAACAGACAGACCTCACTTATTCATGCTTAACCCATATTACTTAATGTATTACCACTATATGAATGACGGAGTGAGGTCTCATCAGAGAAACATCACTACAGAAATGAGGTGAAAATGGATTTATCTACAACTACTACTCTCCTTATTAATATTAATATTTCATACAGTAGTCAGTGAGCAGCAACAACTGTAGCTTCCTCCACAAATATCTAAATTCGAACCATTAACTTGAGAACATTAACTAAATGTGGGGAAAAAATAATCCTACATTAGAAAACATTTGTTTCTAAGAAAACACTGCTGCTACATTTATTTGCTCCCTTTCACTACTTCCATAACATTATTATAATTGAAACATGACTTCCCAGTTTTACATGACATAATAACAGAAACAAACACAGACACATTTCTTGTAGCCACCGGCAATCAGGCTTGACGAGGATCCGTATTCATCTTGCTATAACTTATGTCGAGGAGGATGGCAGAAGAGGTCAAAAATCTCAAAAGCTAACTTTTAGAGAATTGGGCATCTATAAAATTAATGTCAACTAGTTGTTTGGTACTGATGCACTACCATAAGCTTTTGAAGTTTGAAGATTGATGCTGTCATATTTTGAAATTGAAACATGACTTCCCAGTTTTACATGACATAAAACTGTCATGTATACATATTCTGTGTATTCTGAATATTATTAAGTGTTATGACATCCTTAGTAATTTAATACACTTAAATTATTAAATTAGCAAAATTAAAGGTTGGATTTTCTACAGTTAATAGTTTCTTAAATTAAATAATTTTCAATGAAAGATTATTAATGCTAAGGCTTTTAACATGTCTTTACCAGGAATACTTACAAAGAATGCAGTAAGCCATCGGTTATAAAGAAAAACATGAACAAGCGATCTGCAGTCAATAAGCCAAAACCAACATGGAATCACACAGGGGTTTTTCCCCAAGTGATTAAAAACAACTTCATTTCCTCACAGGCATTAAAACATGATCTGTTGGAAATTAAACTCTGATGTGATGCCTACCTTTTTTGTTTTTGACTTCCTTTTTATCTGTAAAAACATAAAATAATCAATCAAACAAATGCAATAAATCAACAGATATTTCTATACTAAAATATATATTTCAGCCCCGAGGTTTTCATTTGAGACATTAACTTTAGTTAGTGAGTTACAGGTTTAAAAGCAAACTACTAGATCAATTAAAAAAAAAAAAAAAAATATATATATATATATATATATATATATATATATATATATATATATATATATATATATATATATATACTTTTAAAAACAGCTGAGTGGAATGTTTAATTTTACAGTTTCAAATAACTTGATATGATCAAATACTCTAAATGATAAGAAGTTAGATTAAATCAGCATAAAAGCGTATATTATCATCTACATATTAACAAAATATCAATCTGTAAGGACATAACATTGATTCATGTCTCAATGTTGAAATTATAGATCTCTGTAAAAATACCTCATGATCCCGTGTCTGGAAGTCACTTCTTGAAAGAAAGAAATAGGAAACAATATTGCAAACCTCTTTGACTGGACCTGAGGGATGCACTACACTTTGATTCAACTGATCTGTGCCACAGGGAGTGTGTGAGGAGACACTGTTGGGTGCCACACTACACTTCTTCTGAGATGATGAATTGTGTAGTTGACTGCTGTTAAACTTACTCTTCTTATCCTTTTTGTCTTTGTTTTTCTTTTCCACATTTTTCTTCTCTTTTTTGTCGTCGCCGCTGCCTTCGTTGTCTTCACTGGCACCGAGCAGTTTGAAAATAATTCCCGTCTGAGAATTCACACCTACGGCAGTGACTACCATCTTTCCAGAGCCCTCCATTACATGTGTGCCTGCAGAGAAGCGTGGGAATAAAAAGTTACAATCTTCCGCTGTGAATTCTGTCAAAATTAGCCTCGGTAGAAACTCTGAAAGCTGTGCTTATTAAGCCCATTTTTTAAAGTCAAACTTTCTTTAGTCATTTTGATTCCTTTCAAAGTTAGCCTTTAAGAAGACATTCTGAATGAGTTTGTGTTGATCTACGTCAAGGCAAGCATGTCAAAATGATTGAAATGATGAAATGATCTCATGATTTCCCAGAGTGTTGTCCAATTATAGTCCTTGGTTGTTTTAGTAATTTCCCATTGAATTACAAAAGCAAATTCAAAGGCTGAACTGGCTTAGTAATTTCAGTTAGTGGTGTCAAACTGAAATTGAACACCACTGTTTGTCTCGCTTTTAAATTTCTATTTTTAAAACTTCTCCATTTATTTGTTTGATTTTTTTCTGTACTAACATTAAATACATTTAAAAAAAATAAACGTGTGCTTTGTTATTAGAGAGACACTAATTTTATCCAGTGCATGTCTCATCTCCAGATTTCATGTTAATGTTTCAAGTAAGGCAACTGTTTATCCTTTTAAGTAACATCAATGGGTTTTTCCATGTAGATGCAAAGGTCTTTGAGAAAATATTATAAGATGATTTTATGTAAACACTTTTTATAAACACGGTGGCTTTTTTCCCTATCTGCAGCATTCTCACACTTTTTACAAAGTCAAATTTATCCCCTTCTCTTTATGCATTTTCAATTTCATGGTTTCAGGATTTACCAGGACATAATCATTAATATGGCTTTTAAGCACATGCTGCTCTGAGAAAGTATTTGCCCCCTGTTGATAATAAATCATTCTGTTTTCCTTCTATCTGTGTTAGCTAAAGCTAAAGGAAATGCTTTAGCTAGGGTTAAAGGGCATGACACACAAGGGAACACCCTCTTTAGGGTGTAGTTTAGACAGAGTATAACAAAAACAATGGAAAACTTTGATGTCATTTTGTCCTGCTAACTCCTAAGGTAGCATGAGAAACAGACCAGCCGTATTTTGGTATTAATAAATGGAATTCATAAATTCAACTCACTGACGCTTCTTCAACCTCATTCTTATTCTGATTTCATATAAATAAGAAACCTTCTAAAACGAATATGTCACAACAGAGTACGATAACTGGCAAAAAATCTTTGACATGACCACTGAGGACTGCTTTGTTTTAATTGTATTAAATGTTTACGCCATATTGGAGGGACTACTGTACTGGTGTTTAGGAACTGGATGTAAGTCAAGACTTTTGCTACGCCACTCCAAAATGTCCTTTTTCTTAAAAAGTCATGAATAGATTCATAGGTGAGCTGTGCTTTGGATACTTACCCTGCCATGTTTTCAAAGTGTGAGTGGGCTTCAAGTTCTGTACATAGATGCGAAACAGCCTCTTTTCTAACATTTTACTTGGAGGGAATATGATGCGTTTTTTTAAGCATCTGGTTTTTCTTTTTTTTTTTTTATTTAATCTGCTACATTTTTGTGTAGAAGGACAAACAGCCCCATGATAATAAATCTTTATAACCTAAAAATTAGCATGTTAAGGCATTTTAGTAGTACTAAAGCAGTCATATGGAACCTTTAAATAGCACTATGCTGATGTTAACATCTGCATGCTGTGATGTGATAATATAAACCTTGTAAAATGAATATATAAAAATTCCCTTCTCACCCACCGCGGGTGGTTCTTATCCTCTGAGCTCGGGTCCTCTACCAGAGGCCTGGGAGCTTGAGGGTCCTGCAGTATCTTGGCTGTGCCAAGGACTGCTGCACATTTCTGGACTGAGATGTCTGATGTTGTTCCTGGGATCTGTTGTAGCCATTGATCCAGTTTGGGGGTTACTGCCCCGAGGGCCCCGATGACCACAGGTACCACTGTGGTCTTCACCTTCCAGGCCCTCTCCAGTTCCTCCCTGAGGCCCTGGTATTTCTCCAGTTTCTCCTTTTTCCTGATGTTGCAGTCACTCGGTATTGCTACATCTACCACAACGGCTTTCCTCTGTTGTTTATCCACTACGACAATGTCTGGTTGGTTCGCCATTACCATTCTGTCTGTCTGGATCTGGAAGTCCCACAGGATCTTAGCTCTGGTGTTCTCCACCACCTTTGGGGTGTTTCCCACTTTGATCTCGGGGTTTCCAGTCCATATTCTGCACAGATGTTTCTGTACACTATTCCTGCCACTTGGTTATGTTGTTCCATGTATGCTTTCCCTGCCAGTATCTTGCACTGCTGTTATGTGCTGGACTGTCTCAGGGGCCTCCTTGCACAACCTACACCTTGGGTCTTGTCTGGTGTGGTAGATCTGGGCCTCTATTGCTCTGGTGTTTAGGGCCTGTTCCTGGGCGACCAGGATGAGGGTCTCTGTGCTGTCCTTGAGTCCATTGAGTCCAATGAAGGCTCTCAGAGTCCTGTTGATGTTATACATCTCTAAGCATTCAATGATCCAAGTATGGGGCATTGAGTCATAGGCTTTCTTGTAATCAATCCAAGCCATGCACAGGTTGGTGTGTCGGGTTTTGCAGTCTCTGACAACTGTGTGGTCTACGAGGAGTTGGCATTTGGCTCCTCTGCTATTTACACCGATACCCTTCTGTGCCGTGCTCATGTGTTTATCCATGTGTTTGCTCATCTTGGCTGCTATGATGCCTGACATGAGCTTCCAGGTTGTGGAGAGGCAGGTTATTGGTCGGTAGTTGGGTGGGACTGGACCCTTTGATGGATCCTTCTGGATTAGGATTGTTCGCCCTTCAGTTAACCATTCAGGGTGAGTCCCACTTTGTAGCAGCTGGTTCATTTGGGCTGCCAGTCCCTCATGGAGAGCAATGAGTTTCTTTAGCCAGTAGGCATGGATCATGTCAGGCCCTGGTGCTGTCCAGTTTTTCATGCCTGAGACTCTTTCTTGAACATCTGTCACAGTGATGGTTACCAGGGCTTGCTCAGGGAGGTTGCTGTGGTCCTCTCGTAGAGAGATCAGCCACTGTGCATTGCTGTTGTGGGACGCCTCCCTTTCCCATATGCCTTTCCAGTATTGTTCCGTCTCCAGCCTTGGTGGGTCTGCTCTGTTGTTATTACCCTGCCATTGAGAGTACACCTTAGCTGGTTGAGTGGAGAAGAGCCGGTTAATCCTTCTGGATTCATTCTCCCTTGTGTATCTCTTTAGGCGGCTGGCCAAGGCTTGGAGCCTCTGTTTAGCAGTTTCAAGTGCTTCAGGTATGGGCATCTGGCTGTACTTTCTGGGTATTGGTCTTTTCATTGCACCCTTGGGGAGCTCTGACAGTTGGCTCAATTCCCTCCTTGTTATCTTGATTTTAGCCTCTAACCGTCTTTTCCATGGTGGGTATTGGGTCTCATGGTTGCTCTTATAGCCAAGTATCTCAAGGATCACTGATGCTTGAGATCAGTGATCCTATATAACCATACATACTTATATATATATATATATATATATATATATATATATATATATATATATGTGTGTGTGTGTGTGTGTGTGGTGTGTGTGTGTAATGGCGAACCAACCAGACATTGTCGTAGTGGATAAACAACAGAGGAAACAGAGACAACAGAGATGTAGCAATACCAAGTGATTGCAACATCAGGAAAAAGGAGAAACTGGAGAAATACCAGGGCCTCAGGGAGGAACTGGAGAGGGCCTGGAAGGTGAAGACCACAGTGGTGCCTGTGGTCATCGGGGCCCTCGGGGCAGTAACCCCCAAACTGGATCAATGGCTACAACAGATCCCAGGAACAACATCAGACATCTCAGTCCAGAAATGTGCAGCAGTCCTTGGCACAGCCAAGATACTGCAGGACCCTCAAGCTCCCAGGCCTCTGGTAGAGGACCCGAGCTCAGAGGATAAGAACCACCCGCGGTGGGTGAGAAGGGAATTTTTATATATGTAGTTTTCTTCACTGTTTTAATTGTTACTGTAACTTAGATTCTGACAGCAACTTCACAGGTTTACGCAAAGAAAAAAAACAAAAAAACTTTAACTTCTAATCTGTCAAGGTGAAAACCAGAGAAATGATCCGATGTACTTTAGAAGAACATTTGTTTGGTAGGAGCTGATAATGATAGTTCAGGTCAGAGTGAGCTGAAAATGTGCAGTAGAGAAATGCACCTGAGAGCAACATGGGGTCTTTGTCAGTGGTCTTCTTGACATGATCCGACTCTCCAGTCAGAGAGCTCTCATCGATCTTCAGATCGTTGCCCTGAATTAAGACGCCGTCGGCTGGAAGGAGGTCACCTGGAATGGCAACACAAAGGCTATAACTGCGAACACTTATCAGGGCAGAAAAAGTTATATCACAGTTATATCACCAATCTCCTGGAGAAACAAGAAAAGAAAATTCTGAAGTCTGTGTTTTTTGAAGATTAAAATAGTACCAGTGTGCTTCTTCAAACAAAATTTGATATATGTTTCTTTGTTTGTGCTAGTTTTATGGATTTATTGTCATTTGAAGTATTGTTCTGTCTTTTTTGTACTGCAGCCCTGTTCCCTTTTCTAACACAAATTCCTTCCATGGGAGACAAATAAATTATCTTATCTAATATCAGTGAGACAAAAAATAGTCCTTTTCATTTCAGAGAAAGAGAGAATATTGCTAAATTGTTTTTTCTGGACACTGCAACTTTCTTTGTATATTCAGGAACATTTCAGACATCAGCGGCTAAAATCAAAATCGGTAGGTCAAGCATTCTAAAGATCTGCAATGGGCAACTGGCCAGAAAATTGGAATTGGGGAACCCCTGCTCCAAACCCTTTGGTAATGTCGGCCATATGCAGACCCGTGTGTTTACTCACCATACTTGACTTGTGCGATATCTCCGACCACAATCTCCGATACTTTGATCTGGATCACCTGCCCTGATCGGACGATGGTGAACTTTTGCTCCTGTTCAATGCGACTCTGCAGACCGCGGAACTGCTTCTCTTTGCTCCAGTCATTAAAAGCCGTCACCAACACCACGCATGCCACAGAAAGGAGAATGGCGGCGCCTTCGATCCATCCGGTCTCTGCATCCCCCTCTTCTTCAACGCCACCAGCTGCTTTTCCACAGTCTGAACAGAGATTTTAAAATAGTCTGACAATCTATTCTCTTATCCTTTTTGCCTATGTTGAGCTGGAGACAAGTTTCTTTTTGCTATTACAAGATAATTCATAATAGATAATTGAGTTTAGTATTTTTTTTAACGATAATGTATTTTCCACAGAGATAGTAAATAACATACATTCTGATAGACAGTCAGACTGAAGAATTATGTGGATTCTTTTTCTCAGGTCTTGTGTCAGATCACGTTTCTGTTAAACATTATTAATAAATACAAACTGTGTATGACAAGATATGCATTGATTTAACTAGAGAATTGACAGAAACTGGGAAAATTAGCTTGACTGATTAGAACACAAAAGTTTTCCCTGAAACCATAAAACTATGTTGAAACAGAAAACTTAAATAAGGTTTCTAATTCTAAAAATCTGGTCCTAATTTGTCACATTGATTTAGCTGGTTGTTAACTTGAGCATTTACGTAACCACTGAGATCAATAACTGGGATAAAAAGCATTAAATAGCAAAACATTTTTACTGTTGAAATGCTACCAGACATCTCTGCCACAGTGCTCAAAATATCCAAATATCCTTGTATGGTGGAGAAAATACTCACTTTGTCTTTCTCCATCTGGTGGACTGTAGAAAGAAAGGCTTAGAGATATGACTGCGGCCACCTCCAAAATGATAAGCGTGACGTCCTGCAGGGCCTCCCACACTAACTGCAAAAAGGTTTTAGGCTTTTTTGGAGGGATGACATTCAGTCCAAACACTTCTTTCCTCTTGTTTATGTCCTCTGGCTTTCCTTCCAGACCTACAGAGGCATTAAAAAAACAACAGCAGATTGAAAGGGCAATTTAAACTAGTTTTCCCACTCTGCTCTAAGTTTACCCCAGACTAAGTAAATTAAAACTTGTGTAGACATGGCTGTTTTTAGAATATTGGTCTAAGTGTAGGGTAAAGTAAGCCAGTCCGGTCTACATTTAAAATACATAAAAGTAACTCTAAGTGGGGATTAGTTGGATTGTTTCAGTGTGGTTCAAACTCAAGGAAGAATATAATGTAGTTTGTATTTTTCAGAGATTTTAATATGGTATAAAAGTCACCATAACTTTATACCACATTTCACCATAATGAAAGACGGGCCTGGTCCAAATTTAGTCTAAATGGTAACATTGAAAGTCACATTTTAGAACGGTTTGATGTCATTAAACTTTACCTTTAATAACAACAATTAACATCTTTGAGTAAATGTCTGAGATGTAATACTACTGATATGAATAAAAGCTATTTTCTCAGTATCGTGTCAAGCTAATTTTGTTCGCAGGGTAGCCTATAGTTGCGAAAAGCCTGTTCCTGAAAATGTACTAATAAAAGGAATGACGTGGTGCTCTAAATGCGACAGACTGGTGACCTGTCCACGGTGAACCCCGCCTCTCGCCCAAAACGCAGCTGGAGATAGACCCCGTTAGGGAGAAGGGTGAACAGATAATGGATGGTTGGATAGAAAAGACGTTTGAAGATGCATGTTCTCTGGAGATGAGATTTCACTTAACTGAATGACTTTTCAATTACATGTCAGAAAACTTGAGATTTACTGACTGCTGACCTCAGTAACCAGGCTAAGGGCTAGCAACAGAAGCTAGCACTTAATAGCTAGCACTTCCTTGTATTTCTTTGCACACTAAATTAAGGTAATCATCTAGCAACAGTTAAAACAAGATGATTATTAGTATGTATGACAAGGAATTCTGTGTAATGATTTCTGAGAAACAGAAGGATCTCCCTGCATCCTTAATTGTGTGATGAAGCGTTATTAAATGGAATAAGAATAAACATGTACCCTTCACATAACCATGTCAAAGACAATCTAATGCTATAGTTAGATTGATCATAAGGTAATTAATGCTGTAGTTTACGAGAGTTATGCTTTATAGGCTTATGTTCAAATTTGGTTTGGCATCAGACATTAATGTTAAACTGACACACAACCATCTGAACTCGATTTTCTTAGTTGGAAGCACTGTTTATCGTGCCTGGTGTTTGTGTCTCAGCGGTAGTCTGGTGATGTGTGTAAGAAAAGAGCAGACTTGTTTCCCCCCAGTGGAACAAAGCAACATGTTAAGACAAACTCAAACCCCTCTAGAGACGCTGCAACTGCTCTTCATCTGCTCTTCATCTGCTCTTCATCTGCTCTTCATCTGCTCTTCATCTGCTCTTCATCTGCTCTTCATCTGCTCTTCATCTGCTCTTCATCTGCTCCGACACACCCTGTGTGAGCCGGTTTATAGCCCAACACTTCTCTTTGTATTGTCTGTCCACACTCTGGATTTTCAAGTGAGAGGGAATATGCTGAAAGTTTTGTATCCGTCCCCAGATGTTCCTGCAGTGACATGCAGAGAAGTAATGCAGCAATGTGGATCTTCCTGTGGTTTCAAGCTGCTGCTGACCTTTGCTTCTTTCTGTCAGCAGGAGTTTACCGATCGAGTGGAAGATGGACAAACTTTATGAATTAATAAGGAGGTGAAAATGTCAAAGTGCAAATAAATGTTGCAAAGTCCTCTACATATATTGAAAATTACATCTAAGGATATGTGTGAGACATAAACTAGAGTTGTAAAAGCACAGACAAGATTCAATCAAATAGATTCAATCTGGCCAAGTACAGCTGAATTAGAGGTAATACTGGCAACACGTGGGCTGTTCCAGACATCCTTTGACAGATTTATTATTTTATTTAAATAATGCACCTTACGCATGTTCATAAAAATACACAACTTAGGGGCAGTGTGTGACGTAGAGGTAGAGTTGCTGCCCCAGATGTTATGCTCACTTCCTGCCTAATCTGCTGTGAAACAAGACCTATGCAACTTATTTACTGATGCTCACAGGCCATACACGAAACATTTTGTTTTATTATTGTGGGTTGAACCTATTCCTTTATTTAAAAAGAAAGCTGTGTTGATTGACAACTCTGCGTGCTCTTTTTTGTGATAAGTCAGAAACCTCATTATCCACTTTCTGCAGAAACCACAGCGCCTCCTACATGTGGATTTCAACCAGTATTTTGAGTTCATTTGTTCAGAGGTATAAACATCTAATGTGAAACACTATAATTAGAACTTTGAGTTTTGGTCAGAGTAAAACTCAAAATGGAGTTTGGAATTAAACAAAAAAGTCAAAGTGTGGAACAACAACCCTAGCTCATCTTTAAGTTCATCATATTCATGCGGTAGGCCTGATTCTCTTTGAATTTATGACATTGTGGTATCTTTGGTGGACTCTGTCAGTAAAAGGTTTGTCACTGTTTTTTTCTTTTACAACAGGATAATGATCTTAACCTGGTAAAAACTAGCCTCTTGTTCTAAACTTAGAGTAAAGACTGCTCACTGGAGGTGCAGATTGGATCTGATTTTACCCAATCACAAACGTTTGGCCTTAACGTATGTAGTGTGCCAGCTGGATGAAGTTTACTAGCTTGCGAAGTTTACCATAACCAACCTCGCGAGGAGTAGGTTCACAAAATTTTTGTCTGTAATAAAATGTCTTAAACATTCCTCTTGCTCCAACTTTAATTGCTCAATATTTAAAAGGGTGGCCAAGATGGAGTGAATGGCTATGTTCACTTCCTCTGCTGCCATTGCCAAACCACAGGCCTATATATCCAGACTACAATTCTAAAACAGAAACTTGATGCCGTCCTTTACACCTCTTCCTTCTGTTCGCTGATCAGTCTGGTTGAAATTCCACTGGAAAAAGCCCAGATGGAGCAGTGAAGGGAGATGCTATAACAACCCCATACATATGGCCAAATCAAAGCTCCTAGAAATCTTCCTCCATGACAGTCCTTCGTCCTAAATCCAAATGAAATCCTGTGGGTTGAGTTGAAGAACAGAGAGCATATGGGAAGATCCAAGACTCTTCATGTTGAAAGATTTTGTGGATTTTCTTTGTAAACTCCAACCGTGCCACATTGACTAAATGCTCAAAAATGCTTGCACAGATTTTTGTTTTATTAACACGATTAAAGCAAATTAAATTGGGGGAAAAGCAGAGAAGTGCACATAAACATTGTTTAGTCGCAATGGCTTTTACTTTACGCAGATTCATGAGGAGTATCAACAAATCGCTAATTGATTTCAAAAAATAGAAATTGTAGTTAGAGTGACAGTGATTGGCAGAAAGGATGCTACTGTGAAATATGAGAGGTAGTTTCTGTTACGGCCCCTGTCCTCTAGAGCAGTCTCGCTCTTTTTGATAAGCATGTTCAGGTGGAGGAGCACACTTTGCTGATTGGCTGCTGGAGGCTGAAAAGCAAAACCATTGGTCCAGCAGATGGAAACCAAGCCAATCAGATGCTGAAGAGGCCCATCTGCACCCTATGAAAGGCCCTGCAGACTTCCTCCAGTGGGGCAGACCTAGACTCTTCAAACCTGGACTAGATTATTCACAACTAATAGCAGACTATTTAAAACCAAGTGTGGGATTTGTGAAACCTTTATCTGATTTGCGAAACTTCAATAAAGAGCAGTTCTATTGTGAAGTCGCCCTTCATTGAAGTTTCACAAATATTGTGCTGTTAGTAGTGAATAATCTAGATAGTTTTTCATTTTGGTATTGTGTTAAACAGCAGGGTTAACAGTTAATGCAGTCACTGTTGTTTGTCATGTAAACACAGAGTTGTCTAGTTTGTATTTCAGGTTGATCCAGCAGCATCAGCAGCAAGATTCTTTTAAATCTGATGCAGCAGTTGAGTGGTGGCTCTGGGCGACCTGAACTCACCACAGTATTAACAGTAAGCTAAAGCTGCTTACTAGTAGCCTGCTAGTAGCAGGTGCTAGCTCATGGTAATGGAAGCCGTGTAGGCCTGGTCCTTATCAGGATGCGGCTACTGTCTTTGAAATCAAGTTTCTGCTATTTTTGGGCGTTCAGAAGGCGAAGAAGGACAACACATTTCTGCAAGACAGAGCGCTCCTTTCACAGCTTTAATTGAAGTTAGCCAGCTTTAACCAACTGATAAAGAAATGTGTAATTTCTGAGCCACGCTGTTTATGTACATGCACTGAAGCAAGACACTTTTGTTATATGGAATATTTAATGCTCATTTTCCAAGGCACAACACTTCCATTCATTTTTCTGTAGGATAAATATATCCTACTGTGTCTGCTTAAAATTAATGTTAATGGCAGAAGCAACTTTTTCAAGTTTGGTTCAGTAATTCATTTGAATTATTTTGTGTGTCAAATGTTCAGGCATGCAAGTTAAAACTGTGAGGAACACGTTAGTTTTTGTTTCAATACTTTGGTAATACTTGGAAGTATAAAGCTTGGCGTCAGAGCTAATATTTGATATTTTCCTTTGACCTCTTGACTGTCACCCCCAAAATACTTTCATTAAAGACACTGGGTCCATGACAGTTAAAGGGTTTTAAGATAAGGAAATTTAAATATTTTACAGTTTTTCTCAGTTTGGGTGCAATCTACAAATTATTGTGTCACTTCTTCACATAAAAAAAATTGTTTCTCATTCCTTTGAGCAAGTTATAAATTTATTTGTACATCATGCAACTGATTCTGTGCACTTCTCTGCTTTTCCCCCAATTTAATTTGCTTTAATCGTGTTAATAAAAATGATCTTAAACGTGTCTGTTGAATTTTCTCAGCATAAGTACATTGTGTAAGTCTTAACATGCATAAGTCTTGAAGTTGTCATAATGTCAATCATATTGTAATTTATTTATAATAGAGTTTTTTCAAAATTTGTCCTGAATTGGTAAATTGCTCCCAAGTGAGTCCTAAGTTTCTCTAACAGGTCAATGTATGAACCATTAGCTCAACTAACAATCAACCAGTTTTCTGAAACAGACTGAAGGTGCATCTTGTGATATACATGGTGATACACGCCAAATAAAGGCTGTTCACTTTTTAAATGATCAACCGTTTGTGTTTTAATTTTGGGGGATTTTTCTGTTTGACTTTCTGCATTGAGTTTATCTTGTGTCATCTATTCTGAAATACTGGTCAAAAAGTAAAACATTGTAAAGAGAATCATGTTTCTCCCAAAAGGAAGGATGGAAGGATGAAGATGGAAAATTCCCTGAATTGACAGGTCTTCATCTGATGTTTTTTTGTTCGTTTTTTGTCTGGTTGCAGAGAGGATCACACCTGTCGACAACAAACAAAGGTTAAAGAACTTCTGAATTTTCAGTCAGAAATGATGACACCGCCTGGTTGAAGTACCAGTCTCCATGTGCAAGTCAACAAAGGTGAAACAAACATTTAAGCAAATGCTGAGTTTACATGATGTTCATGTTGTGCATCATTCTAACTTTGTTTTGTTTCTGTTTTCCAGCAGAGAGAAAACATCTGATTGACAACATATGAGTTTCACGCTCAACCTGTGATTGGGAAGACAATATCCATGATGCACACCATCCTGAGCAAAGTCTGAACTCTGTGACTTGTTACTCTCAACCCAGAGCAGGAATCCTCTTATCACTGGTTTTTCTTCTACAATAGGTTACTCCTTATATGAACACATGTTTTTTTTTTTCAGATCTCAGTAATAATGTGAGGAAACTGGACAGGAAACAGAACCAGTTCTTTTTTTTTTGTAACTGAATTTATAAATAGGAATTGTTTTTTTAAGTGGATTACTCGTCATCTGTATTTTTGTTTAATTTGGACTTATTTTCTTTATAACTTTCCATATTGAAATGATGACAAATTACACTTTCTTGTGTGTTGCATTGTAATTTTTATGGTAAAATTCTGGTAACAACAGCTACCGGTAATTTTCCATAAAGTTTTTTGTTGTTGTTTTTTTTTCAATAAAATGTCAATATATCACACAGTCCTGCCTGTCTTGTATTTTTCACTTACATAGACTAATCTTCACAGTATATGTGTTGTTTTTATAGTAAGTTGCATAGAAAAGTTTACAGTTCTGAACTGCTGAAGTTACTGTAAAATAACTGCCAGTATTTTACAGTAAACTAGAGCCGTTTTTTGTTTGTTTGTTTGTTTTTTACAATGTAGGAAGATAAAACAACACAAAAATGACTGAAGGACTATGGCAAAAAACGTCCGATGCAAAAGATGGTAAATCCTCTTATTCTCACCTTTCAGTCTGAATGTCTCTTTATCAAAAAGTCGTCATAGACTGAACAGTTTCTCAAATTATCCAGAAGCTGCCATGGAGCAGACCAGGATCAACATGGCAGTGGCTCACTGTTGACTTTGGCCATCACGTGCTTAGCAGTCCCTTAAGCCAAAGTAAAGAACAGACTCAACATGTCCTCTGTTGGTTTAATTATGTTGATGCCAGGAGGGAGAAGTCGGTGAGTCACTGGACCAGTGGTCTACAGCAAAGTCAATGACTTTGCTTTACAGTCAATGACACTGTTGGACATAGAAAGCTATTATTGTTTTTTCTAGGTTATTTGTTACAGGTTCAATTCATAGAATGGAATCCCAGCAACAACAAAAAAACCGAAGAAAATACTTGCTAAAAAAGGTTAATTAGATTGCAAACATTATCATTTTCAGTAAAATAGAAACTGCCAATTTTCAGTTTCAGTAGCTGACTTCAAAATGTGTAAATATGACACTTGTTCATATTATTCGAAACTCGTCTTATGGTGCCTACAAGCATTTGTAGTTCTTACCGTAGTTCAAATTCTATCTAGAAGAATTGTAGCCATAAATGTAATCTTCAGACAATCAGCCAACATTGAGTTAAAATGGACCAGACTCTTTTTGTTCTTTACAAAATATTAAAATTTGACTGGTCTGGGTAAGTTTGACTAAAATCCGGTTTGCTCCCCTTCCTTATAATCTCAGAGAAGACACGTTTGAGAGTCATCAAAACCAGCCATCATTTCCAAACCTTCCAATCTGCTGGGCTTTCTCCGATTGACTTGGATTCCTCTGGTAGATTTTCTATCGGGCCAATCATTGAACAGAAGGAGAAGTTGCGACCAATGATGTAAATTTTCTGCACTGATTTAGAATTGTGATCTGTTTGTAGTTTTAGCAATGGTAGCTGTGGAAATGAACGAAGCTATTCAGTCAGTGTTCCAGTCTGACATCAGTTAGGTTCTGTTTTAGATTATCAGCCCTGCAAATATAAGCAAGTCTGCTTTGTGTTGAGCTGCAGCTCTCCTTTGCAGAAATGCTTCAGATCTTGCTTTATGAAAATGGTTTGTGAAGAAAACAAAAAGGAGAAAAAGAAGCATATATCTACCTTCAACGGGTGATGTCCTGAGTCTGGTACACAGTCCATTAACATCTCCGTAGCAGTTCTGAATCCTAGTGATTGCATCGGCTCCTCGGAGCTCCATAAGTGATTGCAGCTCATGCAGATAGCAGCTGAACTCTGGCTCATGGTTGGCCTCTGGATTGCGTCCTCGTTTGGACCCGCGGAAAGAGTTGGTGGCCATGTTTTCTTTGTCCAGAGCTTGGTGGGTGTCTTATTGAAAAATGCAACTCAGCAACAAGCCTGAGGTGCAGATCCAGCCTGACAAGGACTCAGTGACTGTTAGGGGGGGAAATAAATGAGAGTTTAGAAAGATCACACATTTAGTTTTATTCATTGGCTTTCTGCAAAATTAACACAAGAATTAATATTTCTTTTTTGACACATTTGGTCCTGGATAGCCAAGCACAATCAAAGCTGGAAGGACAGTCTCTATACTGTCAATCATGCTTATGTACACGCTGCTCAGATCCTTCATCTGCACAGTGTGTACTGTCTTGCTCAAGATTTCCACTGTGCTGAAGCTGCACTAATGGAGGAGAAACAACCTAATGTGACAAAGAAACGATCATTTTCTCAGGTTCTCGGCAGGCTTTGCCGCAGTGCAGTAGTGAGCAAGGTTTTGGGACCTGTAATTGTTTAAATGTTCCACACTTTTTTCAAAACTCCCTTGCTTTCACAAAAGCGGTAACAGTTACCATGGCGATTTATCCTGTGGTAAGTCCATGAACAGGCTAGCAGGCTGAAGCAAGACACTTTTGTTATATGGAATATTTAATGCTCATTTTCCAAGGCACAACACTTCCATTCATTTTTCTGTAGGATAAATATATCCTACTGTGTCTGCTTAAAATTAATGTTAATGGCAGAAGCAACTTTTTCAAGTTTGGTTCAGTAATTCATTTGAATTATTTTGAGTGTCAAATGTCAAGTGTCACGATGAGTTAATACTGCAGCCGTATTTTCAGTCAATGGCCAGGCTGATCAGAAACCGGTGTATCTTGCCTGTCTTTGTGGGTCCCTTTTTTATTCAGCCTGCATTATACCACAGATTCATTTTGGAATTCAGCCGAGCACTATTTATTTAAACATTATCATAATACAAAATGTCATCAATTTGTAATTATCAACGTGGATCCTGTCACTAGTTGCAGTAGTGACAGGTCGTGTTGCAGTAGACCGTCTCAACAGAACTTTTTTGATGCTCTTGGTCTCGGTCTTCAGTCAGACATTGAGGACTCGGGATTTTATTTCAAGACCACAACTGTAAAGATAGTAAATTGTCAGCATATTGTCCAGTTTATTAGTCAACATCCTTGTTTTCATTGATGTTTTTACTGATGTTTTTACTGATGTATTTACTGATGTATTTACTGATGTTTTTAGAAACATCAGTGAAAAACACATCAGTGAAAAACATCAGTAAATACATCAGTAAATACATCAGTAAAAACATCAGTAAATATATCAGTAAAAACATCAGTAAATATATCAGTAAAAACATCAGTAAATATATCAGTAAAAACATCATAAAATGTGTTTTTCACTGATGTATTTTTCACTGATGTTTTTCACTGATGTTTTTTTCACTGATGTTTTTCACTGATGTATTTTTACTGATGTTTTTCACTGATGTTTAGTTGTCAGCCATCGCCTACCGGTAACTCGCACGCGGCCCTGTTTGTCCCGGAGCGGGAGAAAATGTCTCGATAATAAATGTACCCACGTAGATCATAATAAAGCATATGAGGACACGTGAATTCAGCAGTGCTTCCCTTTCAGAGACGGTAGGGACTATGTCCAACTTTTAGTGTCACTTTGACAGGAAGCTTGTTTCGTAGGTAAGCTATGAGGAAGTGATGTTAGCACAGCTAGTTGTACATGTCAGGGACTAATCTGTTGTATTTGCCTGCGATGAAACAAAGCTGTCACTTACTGCGCTGATTGCGGACGAGCCGCTGCACATGCAACGACGCTGTGACCAAAATCTACAATATTGTGAGAAAACATTCACGCTGTAAGCCGATTTTTCTGAACGGCTGTTTACAATGAACGAAGACTGGAGGATCACTGACAACCGTTCTGTGTTTTCGTAATGCTCTGCGCACACTGCACGAGCTATTGTTATTCTGTTTTATTAAAAATGTATATTTATTTCATCATCACGTAAATAAAATAGAAGAACGTGAGATAACCCGGATTGCATGCTCATTGCTCTGATGAGTTTCCCTGTGCAGGCAGACAGTCAGAACAGTCAGGTTGCTTGGTTACTTCTTGCTTGTTGCTCTTTGTTCTGCTTGAGCATTGTTCACCATTAATGCTTTGTCATGATTGTTATGTTTAATGGTGCTGACAGTGGTGACATTAGCCGTATGAGCAACCACCCAGAGCGTTATCATCATAGGGGCGATGACCTCTGCAGATTGTGGCACAGAGATGGAAGCAAAGCAGAAAAAAGAAGAGTTTGATTTGATAATTGCAATTTATTTCGGCTCTAAGTATTTAATATCCAGGTGTTTTTACGAGAATGTGGATCTTTCAGATCAATTTGAGAAGGAATTTTGATGGTATTTCTCATTTGATTGTGTCGCGTAGCTCGGGGCGCTGGTCTAACCCTAGACTTCCCTTGGTCTAGGGTTAGGTGGTCTTGACTACCTAATATAACACACTGTGCTGAACTGATACCTCTTCCATTCTTATGTAAGTTCAGATTACATGATATACACATTAAGCAATAACAGTAAGTCCAACAGAATAAACCTTCATAGAGGCAAATGAGGTGATGAAAATAGACATCTGGAATGACAAGTTTCACACATTCACATTACACATTCAGGGATGCTCTTTACTTCCTGTAGTGTGACCCCATCAAGGACCACAGTGCCATAACCAGAGTGACATAGCCATAATGAACAGCATAATGACACTGCTCTTCATTATGTTTCTGAAGATCACTGTTGTTCAGAGTTTAACAGAAAACCAAGGGGATTAGATAAAATGGCTGATAAAGAAGCACAAAGTGTTATTAAGTTAGGCCGTAGAAGTTGTAGCATTCCCCCTCAAATGAAGAAATGTTACAACTTACTGATATATATATTTATTGTTTTAATGGCAATAAACCCTCTTAACTTAAAATAATGTTTGCAACTTAAAATAATTTTAGGTTTTACATCTAATCAAGCAAATGCATAGTTTAATTTACACAATATTCAACAAAAAATTACTTATCTACATCCTAAACATACCTTATGCCTCTATGAAGGGGCTGCTGAAAACAAAATACTTTTTATAAGCTCCTTTACAAATGATCTTCTCTTTTGACTTCCGTTAAGCTGCATTTACACAACAGTTAAACAGAAAATTGTCCCTTCAAAACAAAAGCATTGCAGCTCAAACAGGAAGTTAGCCCTAGTTAAAAGCAGATACAGTCATTTGTACATTGCCTTATCATGACAGCATAATATGAGACAGATAATCTGTGAAAAGACGTAGCTCCCTGAGATACTGCTGTCAACTGAAGTAATGCATCCTCACCACAAACACTCCTCCTCCCACAGCGAGGGGGAGTGTCTTATTGCTGTCAGTCAAACTAGTGTATGTGTTGCTGAATGTGACAGTTTCAACAAATATATTAAAAAATATTTTTTGAAAAGCTACATATTGTAACTTTAGGGCTGGTATTTACACTAAGTGATACTTTTAATGAAGTTAAAACTTTTATCAGTTTTAACAGCTTCTCTAGAATTTTTTTCTTCTAAACCCAGATTTTTTGTCGTTTCTGATAGTCTAATCAGCTCCTAAAAGATAGGGGAAGAAGTAAAAAAGAAGGTGAAACTAATCTATCTAACATTTTCCATGATGTTGAATCTCTCAGTGGTCAGAGATCAGACTAAACTCAGTGATGCAAAACAGGAATCTGGGTGGGAGAGGGCTGCTGACTCTCGTTGAGAGGTCATTCACTGACAGTGTGCTCTGGTATCAAAGCATGGTCTCTCAAGGCTGGGAGATGTTGCACAAGTTCCCTCAGCCAGCTTGGGCTCATACAGCACAGGAGAAATCTCCTTCACGTTATAATAGAAACGAGATCTGCCTGCTGGACTGCAGGAATGAACCCAAATGGGGTAAATTTTCAACTAGTGCTGTGGAGCCATTGATCAAATATCTTACAGATGACACTCTACGAGGCAATGGTGGCGACGGTGGTAGGAGGTTGTCCGCAATCAGCCAGCTGCTGGTTCAATCCCCAGTAAAACCCGCCTCTGTCATTGTGTCCTTGGGCAAGACAAAGATAATAGTTGTGCACAGTTGGAAGAAATGGAGGAAAGTAAAGGCAGCAAGGAAGACTAAACAAAAAAAACGGTTTTCTTAATTTGTCTTTTCTCAGATTTAAATTGTCTCTAAGCAATAAAAACCTTCACACTGAATCCAACCACATTCATCTATTTTCAATTGCAAAAAAAGGTGGTGGTCAGAGGGTCCAGTCTGTCCTTGCTTCTGTCAGACTGCCACTATCACTGTGTGAGTGTGCACATGAATAGGTGAATGACTGTGGTGTGTGTGTTATGGACTTCGGTTCCATACAAATAATACACCATACAAGCACTAAGGTTCTATATAAGCACTAAGGCACTTCCCAAAGCCATTTATGTTCAATTCAGTTCAAAGTTAGTTCAAGTACTTCTTAGATTCGTGTCTCTGACTGAGTGTCTTTATGTTTGTTTCCCTCAGGTTGTGACCTCGGTGTCTTCAACTGTAAGCTGCTGTGTCAATCAGTCAGCCAGGCTTAATCTGAACGAGGCAGAGGTAGCCTGTTGAAAGCTGAAGGAGAGAGGAACAACTGAGCCACAGTGAGCACAAGTCATGACTGTCAAATCAGTGGAGGAGGCTGATGGTCACCTTCCATGGCTTTATCAAACAACAACTCCAGAACAAAATGTGTCAGTATTCCTAAATCATCTCACTTCAGGAACAGCAATTTATTTTTCACTACACTGTCTGCTAATCAGTTAAAGTACATAAAATCACATTCATGTGTTTCTATTGAGGATCTACAAACAGCTAACTGTCTGTTGAAAGCAAAAAAAAAAGAAGAAGCAATGTCTCCTTTACAAGCCTGAGAAGAAGAAAAGGCTTTACTCACACAAACTTCCCCCATCGCCTCCGGTTAGCAGCAGCAGGTATTAGTGGGAGTCCGATTACTCTGAGCAGCATGACAATCACAGCTCCAGAACAAGCCCATAACCCATTAGTCTGCAGACCACAGCTTCACTCATCAAACTGAAAAGAAATTCATTCTGACCTTCAGCGAGCTGACAGGCACAAGGAGCGCTCCATCACAGGAAAACAGAAGGAAATAAAAGAGCTCACAAAACAGAACAGAGCTGGCTAAATGATTATCTGTGGAAAGCCTTGCCTAATCTAATTAGACAATCTGTGGCTTCGGAGAGCTCCAGAGAAGCTGTGGCTGCTCCTGCAGCTCCTCCTGTTGAGAGGAACGCACAGGTGTCTGTGCACACAGCATGGAAACTTGTTGAAGCTTCCACATCAGTGACGCATGTACTCATATCAACATCAATACATCTGCTGCAAGCAGTGGAAGTTTCCTACAGCTGGGATGAGCATGGAAAACACCAGAGCAGTTTCAGAGAAAAATGTAAGAATTCAATGCAAAGCAGGCAGTAAACAGAGCAATGTACAACTGGTGCTCCAAACTCACAGCAACACTCTGACCCAGCCCAAGTTAAATTAACTACTGTTCTATTCCCAACGCTCTGAATGCATCAGCACTTCTTCTTCTGTTTGTTACACACACACCTCACATCCCCCTCCATCCAATACCTGCCCGGAGGAGCAAGCTCTTGTCAGGAGGCACAACACACACAAACACACACAGGTGGATTACAGCACATAGTGATACAGGGGGATTAACTGACCACACAGGGACACACACATGCACAGACACACCCATACACAGGGATATTACTCTTTCACTTCACATGTTTTAGTTTACTTGTGCTTTTACATCCTACAAGGCTGTCTAAAGTTTCCCCTCCACATTCGATGATGATACCAGGAGTTAATGTCTGCGTCAGCTGGAGGAATGCTCACCATAGTAGCAGATGCGCTGAGTGGACTGAAGTCTGCTTGATTCACTCTGAATATGAATGCATATGTTTCGAGTTAGAATTAAACCTGCCTGGTGGGTCACGAGTATATGTGCTGCCTCCCTGTGGTCAGATGTTGTCGGTGCACAACACTGCATGATAATGAGTAGAGGGCAGATCATTTTGCTAAGGTGTTTTTAAAACAAAGTAGAATTATGGAAATAGCGTATTGTAAATCTGAAATAAAATCAATTATTAAAAGCAAAATTAAATCTAAATGGCAACAATTGTGGGAGGAAGGAACTAAAGGTTATAATTTATTTCATATACAAAGAAAGTAGGAAATATGGAAATAACTGGAGAAAATCAAAAAGAACAAGTAGTAATGACAAGATTGCGGCTCGGACTGAATTAAATAAAACTTTACATTTGATAGGTAAACATCCAACAGGTAGTTGTGAGTGTGGTATGGATATGGAAACACTAGAACATGTAATAATTCATTGTGAAATATATACAGTAATTAGAAAAGCTAAAACAAGAGATTAGGAAAGATGATGTAGAGACATTAAAACTTAATAAGATATTAATTAAACTTAAAACAAATAAATCAGCTATTAAATATTTAAAGGAAACAGGAATATATATAAGAGTTTAGATTAAAGGGAGATACTCTGGTCCACACTCCAGCATAGTAAATGGTGATAATACATCTTAACGTTAGATATCACCTGACAGTAAAAATCATAGCTTAAAAAGAAAACAAAAGGGAATAAGAGGAAAGAGAAGGACTCGGAAGGCTACGGAAAAACAAAACACATAGAAATATATCGGATTTGGAAAAGGTGGATTTGGGCATAAACTGGTATGTGAATGGGTCGGTTGGAAATGGAGATAGGAAATGAGGAAAACATGGATTTTGAAGGGTGAACGTCGGTGGGGAGAAGAAGAAGGAGAGGACATGGAAGAAATAAAATAGATGAAGGAAAAGGAACTGGTGATATTCAAGGTATTAAATGAGTACTGGAAGGAAGTAGTTCAGAAGAAGAAAGGATAGTAGGAAGAAAGTTAGGAGGGAGGAAGTTAAAATAATATTAAAACTTAAGAATGAGGAAGATCAAGATAACATCAGCCTCATTGTGGTGTAAAGAGAAATAAAAAAGAAAATTGGAAATGTTGGAATGGTTAAGATTTTGAGAGATGGAAACCTATTGGAAGTTTGTAAAAATGAAGAACAAAAGAAAAAGGCTTTACAAATATGTGGATCATATGTCAGTAGAAAAGCTAACATTATTCATAGCATATGTTATCAACTACACTGACCAAGCCAAGCATAAAACTGAGAAGATTAAAATAATAGTGAGAGGAGCTGAAACGTTTTTGGGGTTTAAAGAGGATCATGGGAGAACATGAACAAAACGTTTGAGGTAGATGGGAGACCCACCACCATTAATATTACAATGGAATGGAAGAAGTTTAACTGCTAACAGACAGGAACTTAAAGGTTATATTGATAGTCTTAAAGAACAACCAGAAATGTGTTGTGTTCAGGAAACATGGTGAAAAACAACATAAGATTATGTGATCAAAGATTATGACGGTGTAAGAAGAGATCGACAGGAGGGAAGTGGAGGAAGATGTGGAATATTTATAAAACAAGGGATACAATATCAGGTATGAGAGAAAGGGAATGCACTTGAATATATAGTAATTGAGATGGCAATCACTAAAACAGATTTATACATGTATGATAAGATCTAACATAGACTTTGGTTGTTTAGTTTACGGTTCAGCAGCTAAAACACATCTGGTTAAATTAGACATTGTCCAACATCAGGCATTAAGATTATGCACTGGAGCATTTAAAACCACATCAACAGTAGCAATAGAAATAGAAATGGGAGAAATGCTGTTAGATTTAAGAAGAACAAATTCTAGAAATAAATTTTTGGTTAAATTTATAAAGCAATATCTCCAACTTGGGAAATTTTAAATCCATGTTGGGAAAAAGAAAAGAAAGAAATTAGGGGTTTTGGATGAACAATTGAAAAGAAAATGACATAATTTAAAATGACTGATTTAGAAATTGCCGTACTCAAACAACACCAATATCAATTATGGATTCTACCAAAATCAACAGTAGATATGTCAATAATGGAAAAGAAACTAGATAAATCTTTCATCGTAGATAGTTACTCAGTACAGGTACATTTAAACAATTATTATCAATATATTCAAACTTATACAGATGCATTAAAATTAACTGAAAAAGTAGGAATAGCTTTTGTAGTAAAAGAATTCAATATGAAAATAGGAAAACAAATTACAGACGGATTTTCAGTGTGCTCAGGAGAAATATTGGCAGTATTATTAGCTTTACAATGGGTATGTCATGTTTTGATTAGCTCGGCGAACCCACATGCGCAGAACACACTCAGGAGGGAGAGGTAAGTGCAGTGAGATTTATTGCAACAACAAAAATGTGACAGTGACGGTTGCAGGGAGGAACAGGCGGCGGCGTCGCAGGAAGGCGGATTGGAGAAGCGGTTAGGGTTAGGGTCTCAGGAGCCACAGGGAGGATCAGAGCTCACGTCTCGATGAATCTCCTGGCCAACGAGAATCCAGGTGGAACAGACTGCCAGGAGAACACGGGAAACAGGACCTGAAGGCGGATGACAGGAAAGCGTTAGGAACCAGATCTGGTTGGTCTGAGGTTAACTTAGCACAGGTTCTACCATAGGCGAGCAACACTCTGACACTGGAGTGTTGGCGTGATCTTCCAGAAGTACTCCTCCCGATGAAGTAAGTGGCCACAGGTGTGCAGGAAAAAACCACCAGTCACGCCCCCACGCAGTGTCACGACGCCCCCTGGAGGAGAAGCTGAAGGCGCACCTCCAGATTCACAACAGTACCTCCCCCTCAACAACCGCCACTAGGCGGTCCACCAGAAACTGAAGGAAGAGAGGCACGGTAGTCTGCGATGAGGGGAGGGTCCAGAATAAAAGAGCCGGGAACCCACTGGCGAGCCTCTGGACCGTAGCCCTCCCAATCCACCAGGTATTGCCATCCCCGGCCCCTCAGACGGGAGTCCACAATCCGGCGGACCGCGTAGACAGGGCCCCCCTCAAACTCACGAGCAGGAGGAGGGGTTTCGGGAGGCGGGCACAACGGACTGGTAACCACAGGCTTAATCCGGGATACGTGAAACGTGGGATGAACAGCCAGCGTCGGAGGCAGACGGAGACGGACCGCAGATGGGCTGATCACGGACTCAACTTCAAAGGGCCCGATGAACCGAGGAGCCAGTTTACGAGAGACTGACTTCAACGGAATGTCCTTGGTCGATAGCCAAACCTGTTGCCCCGGAACATAGGCAGGCGCTGGTCTCCGTTTACGATCCGCGAACCGACGGTTCTGTCCTTTAGTGCGGTTGAGTGCCGCCACGGTCTTCCTCCAGATGGACCTGCATCGCTGAATGTGACGCCGCACCGATGGCACCGCAATGTCCCTCTCCTCTGACGGGAACAAAGGTGGCCTATAACCAAAGGAGACTTCAAACGGAGACAGCCCAGTAGCAGATGAAATATGAGAATTATGAGCATACTCAGCCCAGGGGATGAACTGACTCCAGTCAGTGGGGTTGGTGGCAGTGAGATACCTCAGGGTGGACTCCAATTCCTGGTTCATCCGCTCCGTCTGACCGTTCGACTGTGGATGGTAGCCAGAGGACAAACACACCTGGGCTCCGAGAGCCGCACAAAACTGCCTCCAAACCTGAGCCGTAAACTGAGGTCCCCGGTCCGACACGATCTCAGCACGGATGCCATGGAGCCGGAACACATGCTTAACCAAAAGCTGTGCAGTCTGGAGAGCAGAAGGCAGTTTCTTCAATGGAATTAAATGGCAGGACTTCGAAAATCGGTCGACCACAGTAAGGATGGTCGTCATGCCCCTCGAAACAGGAAGTCCTGTCACAAAATCCAGAGCTATGTGTGACCATGGTCGGCTGGGTACAGAGAGGGGTTGAAGTTGGCCAGAAGGGAGTTTATGAGAAGGCTTGTTCTGTGCACACACCGGGCAAGCTAGCACAAACTCCTTGATGTCCTTGTAACAGGACGGCTACCAGAATCGACGAGTAATGACTGCGATTGTTCTGCTCACTCCAGGATGGGCGGAAAACTTGGCGGTGTGTAGCCACTTGATCAACCGGGGGCGCACAGGTGTGGGTACATATACCTTGTTCGGAGGTCCACTACCCGGATCGGGTTCAGTCAATTGAGCCTGCTTGACCAGGTCATCGACCTCCCAATTGACCGACGCCACCGAACAACTGGCCGGGAGAATGGAGACTGGACACTCCTCGGCATCATCGGTAGCATACACCCGGGACAGGGCGTCAGGTTTGCCATTTCTGGAACCAGGGCGGAAAGAAATTATCAGGTTAAAACGGGAGAAGAATAAAGACCAACGTTTCTGCCAGGGATTGAGTCTCTTAGCAGATCTTAGGTAAGAAAGGTTCCTATGATCTGTCCAAACTAAAAACGGATGAACTGCCCCCTCCAGCCAGTGCCTCCACTCCTCGAGGGCCAGCTTGACAGCGAGGAGTTCCCGATCCCCCACGTCATAGTTCCTCTCGGCCGGAGTCAGTCTGCGAGAGAAGAATGCGCAGGGATGGGTCTTGTGGTCAGTTTCAGCAAACTGAGACAGGACGGCTCCCACCGAGTCAGAAGCGTCCACTTCAACCACAAACTGCTTAGTGGGATCTGGCTGGATTAGGATGGGTGCATCAGAAAACAGAGATTTTAATTTGACAAAGGCAGCATTAGCCTCCGGGGTCCAGGAAAAGTTCGTCTTTACAGAAGTAAGAGCGGTTAAGGGCAGAGCAATAATACTGTAATTACGTATGAAACGTCGATAGAAGTTTGCAAAGCCCAAAAACCTCTGCAGTTGTTTCCTAGATTCAGGTACCGGCCAGTCTAAAACCGCCTTAACCTTGTCCGTCGATGGCCTCACCTGTCCCCCTTCCAGAACAAACCCCAGGAAGGACACTGACGCCTGGTGAAATTCACATTTTTCCGCCTTCACGAACAGTCGGTTCTCCAGAAGTCGTTGCAGAACGAGTCTGACATGCTGACGATGCTCAGGGAGCGTCTTGGAATAAATCAGAATATCATCCAGATAAACAAAAACGAAAACATTCAGAAAGTCTCTAAGAATATCGTTAATAAGGGCTTGGAAACAGGCGGGTGCATTGGTCAACCCAAACGGCATGACCAGATATTCAAAATGCCCCAGAGGCGTCTTAAACGCCGTTTTCCACTCGTCTCCCTCCCGAATACGAAGCAGATGGTACGCATTGCGTAGGTCGAGTTTAAAGAAAACAGTTACTCCCTGGACCGGCTCGAAGGCGGAAGAGAGAAGGGGCAGAGGATACTTGTTCTTGACTGTTATTTGGTTTAGGCCGCGATAATCAATACACGGCCTGAGGGTGCCATCCTTCTTAGCCACAAAGAAAAACCCCGCACCTACCGGAGAGGAGGATAAGCGGATGATTCCGGCGGCGAGGGACTCCTTAATATACGTCTCCATGGTTTCCCTCTCCACTTTGGAGATGTTGTACAGTCGACTTTGGGGCAAAGGGGCTCCGGGGAGTAAATCGATGGCACAGTCATATGGTCGATGCGGAGGAAGAGAAAGTGCTTTCGATTTACTAAAAAACAGCAGGTCCTGATATTCCACCGGAACTGAACCGACATCCGAAGGCTCCGCTTCATGACAAACTGCCGGTGGCGAACCTGGCGGGGATGCGGAACAGAGACAAAGTGAGTGACAACTTACAGACCATGAAATAATTTGGCGTTCAACCCAGTCGACATGGGGATTGTGTTGAGACAACCACTCAAACCCCAAAATTACCGGAGAACTGGTGGTGGGGAAAACAAAAAAGGTCGTCATTTCATGATGATTTCCAGAAACATGCAGACTTACTGGGACCGTTTGGTGAGTTATCTGGTGCAAAGCTTGTCCATCCAAGGCAGAGACTCTTAATGGAGTTTGCAAAGGTAGAGTCTCTATGTTCATCTGCTGGACGAGACAAGAATCTAACAGATTTCTCTCACAGCCCGAATCAATTAGGGCAGACAGAGGAACTGACCGGTCCTGAAATGAAATGGTGACAGGGAGGATAAGTCGAGGAGTTTTTTCGCTAATTTGATAGTCCGCCAGCCTCCTCGGATCTACTGGCGGACTCTGACTTTTGCTTTAAGCGGGCATGTAGCAATAAAGTGGCCCGCCGCGCTGCAATATAGACAGAGCTTAGATCTGATCCGCCTCCGTCTCTCCTCGGGGGATAGACGAGCCTCCCCTAGCTGCATGGGTTCGACTTCGCAGGGCGCTGGGTGAGGCGCGGAAGGCTCATGGTTAACAAAGCCCTCCGCGGGCGAAACTAGCGGCCACCTCCGCTTGTCTCTAGCCCGGGTGCGGGCTCGGTTATCCAGACGGATGGCTAGGCTTATCAACTCCTCCAACGTCTTAGGTTCGTCAATTGTGGCCAACAAATCCTTCATGTTCTCGTTCAAGGCATTATAAAACGCGCTCTTAAGCGCAGCTGGGTTCCATCCTGACGCTGCCGCTTTAACGCGGAAATTAATGGCAAACTCCGACACAGATTGAGGTCCCTGTTTCAATGTTAACAGATCTCGAGAGTCGGACGCCGGATCTGACGACTGATTAAAGACCTGTTTAAATTCCTTCAGGAACTCCTCGAACGAACACCCATAATTGGAGAAGGAGGAAAACCTGGCTTGTGCCCAGTCTAAAGCCTTGCCAGACAGGTGGGCAAGGATGAATGAAATCTTTGCGCCGTCATGGGAAAAACTGGAAGGTGAGTGGTTGAACAGAATCTGACACTGGAACAGGAAACCCCTGCACTTATCCATTTCACCTGAGAATCGCTCAGGAGCTGGAGGCCGACGTTCATAAGACCCGGACCGACCTGTGACGTCAGTGCTTGGAGCGGGTGTGGGCGCTGGATCGGGCGGTTGCGAAGACTGGAGGAAATGAGCAATTTCCTCGAGGCGGGAGTTTGTCTCGAGCTGTCGCTTGTTCATCTCACGTAACGCAGTGTCGTGACTTTGAATCAGCGAGTGCTGCTCCTGTAAAGTCCGGCGGAGTGCGTCTGCTGTGGTTTGAGATTGGTCAGTGTTCTGTCATGTTTTGATTAGCTCGGCGAACCCACATGCGCAGAACACACTCAGGAGGGAGAGGTAAGTGCAGTGAGATTTATTGCAACAACAAAAATGTGACAGTGACGGTTGCAGGGAGGAACAGGCGGCGGCGTCGCAGGAAGGCGGATTGGAGAAGCGGTTAGGGTTAGGGTCTCAGGAGCCACAGGGAGGATCAGAGCTCACGTCTCGATGAATCTCCTGGCCAACGAGAATCCAGGTGGAACAGACTGCCAGGAGAACACGGGAAACAGGACCTGAAGGCAGATGACAGGAAAGCGTTAGGTTGGTCTGAGGTTAACTTAGCACAGGTTCTACCATAGGCGAGCAACACTCTGACACTGGAGTGTTGGCGTGATCTTCCAGAAGTACTCCTCCCGATGAAGTAAGTGGCCACAGGTGTGCAGGAAAAAACCACCAGTCACGCCCCCACGCAGTGTCACGACGCCCCCTGGAGGAGAAGCTGAAGGCGCACCTCCAGATTCACAACAGGGTAAAAGAGATAAAACCTTTAAAAACAGTATTTGTTCAGATTCATGTTCTACATTATTAAGTTTAAAATATAATCAATCAGATAGTAGGATGGAGATTTTGTTAGAAATATTTCATTCATTGTTCAGAATACAAAATGTAAATGCCCATGTCATAGTATGTTCTAGTTGGGGTTGTTGCCCATAGTGTCCAGTAGGGGCACTGTAGTTCAGTTTTTGTTGAGTCGCTGCGAGTCTCCTGTCAGTCAGCACTGTGGGCTGAAGTACCCATGGACAGGAGGAAGAGGAGGAGCATTTTCATTTTGTACTTGAGCTGGCGCTCATATTTTCAGTAGGCTAGGATAGCACGACGGCCTTTACCGCTATGGACTTTGTAGCCCTCGGACGGCGGCTCGAGGTGCTCTTTTGGAGCTTTATTTGGTTTATGTAATGTATTCATGTTTTATGTGATGTATTCATGTTTTGTGTATTTTTTCTTTAGTTTTCACGGTGTCTGAAAACTGGTTTCAACCCAGTAAAGTGACTATAGGGGTAGGGTTAAAAAATCTCTTTGATGTGTCCAGAGACTGTTGGCCAGAAGGGAGTTTACGATCCGCGAACCGACGGTTCTGTCCTTTAGAGCTTCGACTAGCCGTCGAAGCTCTCCGTGTTTTTTCTTGAGTCTGAGGGACTGCTACACAAAATATGAGTTTCTTAGTTATATTTGTGTGAGTTCCAGCACGTATTGGAGTAGAAGGAAACGAGAGGGCAGATAAAGTGGCAAACAGGGCAATTCAAAATCCTGTTAGTTTTACAGTTAAAACAAGTAAATCTGAAGAGTATTGTGAAAGGAAAACTGATGAACAAATGGCAAAAAAGGTGGGATGAAGAAAAAACAGGAAGATGGTTTTATAAAATTCAGAAAATAGTAGGAGAAAGAAGAAACGCAAGAGGAAATGGAAAGGAGGAAAGAGTTACAAGGTTAAAATGTGTAAAATTATAAAAGTTCATTACAGTACACTTTTTAACATTTAAAAGCATACTACTAACAATTGTGATTACTGTGGAAAATATGAAACAATAGAATATGCTATATTACAATGTCAGAAATATGAAAGAGAGAAAAATATATGAGGAGAGTTTGAATGTATTAAGGACAAGGTTAATTTATTAGATATTTTGAGGAAGAATTTGAGGAGTAAATATATTCAAATAGTCATTCGATTTTTAAAGAAAACTAAAGTATTTCATAGAATTTGATTATAACAGATGTGTTTGTAAATGTGTGGATGATATACATGGTTAGAATACAAAATTATCTAGAAGTACATATATTTGCGCGTGTGTATAAATGTTCTTATAGATAACTTTGTATTCTATATATATAAAGACCATCACGAACCACACTACATACCAGTAAGTGGCAGTAATGCTACTAAAAGTTTGTTGCCAACCGCCATTAAATCCAAGAAGAAGAAGAAGAAGAAGCAGAAACACCGTGGTCACGTGCATCTGAACAGCTGATCTTGACGTCAGGAAGCAACATGGCGGACTGGAACAGAGGTACAGTTTGTTTTTAGACACGTATTCACTTTCTGAGATTAAGCTGTTCGTTATGTTGATCAATCAAATGAAACACGCGCAAATATATGTACTTCTAGATAATTTTGTATTCTAACCATGTATATCATCCACACATTTACAAACACATCTGTTATAATCAAATTCTATGAAATACTTTAGTTTTCTTTAAAAATCGAATGACTATTTGAATATATTTACTCCTCAAATTCTTCCTCAAAATATCTAATAAATTAACGTCGTGGTGGCTTTGTTCGAACTCTACGATACGGGATTACAACGGCGATTAATTAATCTAAACTAGCCTTAAACGTGCGAAGCTAGCAACTTCAGAAGTTTCTAACAAAGAGGAGTATAGACACGTTCAGTTTGAACGTGTCTATCCTGAGCTTTGCGTGTATATATATATATATATATATATATATATATATATATATATATATATATATATATATATATATATATATGAAGTGACGCCCATTGTGTTTCTTTCTACTATTTACAGTTAAAAAAAGGTTTAAGTTCATAAAAAGAAACCACAGATATGCAATATGTCTTCCACATGTACACCTTTAACCTTTCAAAAGTTGTTTTTCTTGGTCATTTTTTTCTTGTTTTTAGAGAGTCAAAATGTCAAAACGGTGTGACTGTTCGAACTCAATTACTGCTTTATAAATGTCTTAAAAATTACATTGAATCTGTTCAATTTTTTTTTTTTCCTGATTGACATGATTTTTAAAGTCTTTTCTTCATCCTGTGCAAACTTTCAAAGCATTTTTAGTTATAAATCTATTATAACATTTAAACAAACTTGATGTCCATTTAACAAAATATCATGTGGTGCAACCGCCAAGAAATTTCCATTCCCATATTTTGAAATCCAGTCAAAAACAAGATGTTGCATCATCCAACAGTCTGCCAACAGTCTCTGGACACATCAAAGAGATTTTTTAATTTTTCTCTAATTTTATTCAAAGTGCCACTTTTAGCAGTTGGTATGTAGTTGCCACATTTGGGTATCATGTGGTATGACCTAAAAAAAAAACTATTAATATTTAAATATTCCTAAAATTTTCTATTTTGATTATGAATTTTATATTTGCCTTGTGTAGGAAGTTAGCTTGTTTTTTTTTAAGAAGACAAATTATTTATCTGTTACTAATTACTGAACAAGAAAATATTATTTGGTGTGACCATTGTAATGATACATTTATGTTCTTGAAGGGTAGTTTCTGTGCTTTTATTTTTAAATTCAAGACTCAAATACAAAAACAGTACTTTATATTATTATTTCCTGAACAGATTTTTGCACAATTTTGGTATTTTTTTAACAATATGATAAAAATACAATTGAACATGTAACATTATGGGAGTAGTTCCAGCATGTATTTTGCCACTTATTGTTTTGATCTATCTAGCAAGAAGGCACCGTCATCAAACTGTAAGCTATGATGAAGTATCATGTGTGGTGGGCCAGTTACTTCAGGATGTGGGAGAAAAAGGCCAAGTCAGCACCATGCGACAGTCTGACAAGAACTTGTTCACATGGTCATGTGCTCACCAGAACCTGAACCAGCAGGAACCTCATTCAGTTCCAAGTTGGACAGGCAAGACTGGGCAAAGTTCACAAATTCCTGTTTCTAAAAACTGCTTGAAAATAAGCATTTCCTTTTGTTCACATGGACATCAAAGTACCCAGGAATAGTTGTGTGCCAATCAGTCAGTCACCAATCATAATCAGCCGATTTCCGTTTAAAAGTGTATGATTGGTGATCACCGATCACTGTCTTTGGTTACCGATCACAAAAACCAATTACATATTTCACAGCGTGCTTTTCCTTCACTGCACAAGCATACGGCAGCAAATCCTAAGCAAGTGGAAGTTTAACGCTGTGTCAGTGATGGGAAGTTTGCATCTTGTGATGGATAAATAGCTCAGCGGAGAAGCCAAAATGCTTGAAAACGTGTTCAGTAAAACAACACGCTTTACTGATACTGATTGCAGGTATTTCATTTGTCCTTTTCATTGAATACGTGCTGCGTTGTGCCCTGCAAGCATTGTACAGGTTTTTCTCTAAATAAGGTGATTTTATGGTTCCATTTTGCCAGATCACATAGTAGTATTTAATCGGCAATCCATGTGATCAGTATTGGTGATCGGCCCTCATGGGAGATCAGAAGAAGAAGGAAAAAATGGAATTGCTGCATTTCTTCCCAGGAGTAATATAATGGTTTGGAAGTTCATTGACATTCTTTCCATTTTGAAACTATTTCTTATCTTACATGGTTCTGCTTAATATAGTTAAACTGAAACTGAATTATTATATTTCCATTAATGTACTTAAATTTGGGAGCTTGAAAATGTTTCTTTATCCAGTTTTTTAAATAAAATTAGAAAATTAAAGCAATCTCCTGTACATTCTGATTTTATTAAGGATATGTTTGAAATACGTATTACAAAGTTGATTCCTGTATTAATTTTTATGCAAATTAAATTGGTGTTTATGGGGATTTTTGTAATGTACTGTTCCTGCTTGTAATTCTATTTTTATGTTTTAAAAGAATTTGGATTTGTTACCTGGCCTACATTTTTGTATAAATCATTTGGTGCGAACAATTAAAAAAGTAAATGTATTGAATATCAAAATATGCTCCAGTATCTGGAGCATAATTATTAATCACTGATACAGTATCTTCAAGTGATTAAAGATTTATTTTTTTATTTATCACAGTTTGATGAAATGGTGAAGAAAAACAGTGGTCAAGTCAATTATAAATGGAATTTCACAGTTCTTTGGGAGTCATAATTGTCAGAAAAATACAAATTATAAAAACTATGTTTCTAAACACCTTAAATAAATGAAAATTAATATATCTTTAATACATCATGGAAAATACCATGATTTTACCACAAATCGTGGTCACACCACATGACATTTTTTAAGACCACAGTCAAATTATATTGGTAAAACCTCTGAAAAGATCTCATTTTAATGTGAAATTATGATTTCTGTATGCACAAAATTTCTAGTAATTACAATGGATATACATATTTTAAAATTTTAATGTAGTCAGGTGAGAGAGAGACCTTAAAAATAAATCACTGGATAAAGTTTCATTTCAGCTGCTTAAAAGAAGCAGGTGCTCAACAAAAATCTTGATTTTAAATTCCAATATGTGAACGATTAACACTGGCCTGGTCGTTTGTGTCTGTGCGTCTTCAGGTCATGGCTCTGTCGACAGCATGCTGGATGCTGAAAACAAGCGACTGGCTGATAACTTGGCCAGTAAAGTGTCCCGACTGAAATCGGTATGTAAAAACCCTACATGCTAATGGTATGTAAAAAGCTTATTTCCACTGGTTTCATTATCAGTGGTGGTTGTCGGTTGTCTGCCTACCTGCTTGTTATTTTGAGTTTCTAGCCACAGGTGTTACATACTTCTTCTATTTGTATGCGTTAAAGGTGCAATATTATGTAAAATTTACTTTTTTGAGATTTACATCATGTTATAATCTTTACCCTCATCAAAAACATATATGGAATGTTGCCTTGATTCTTTCATGCATGTTTTAGGAATCTTTTAATTTTTTTGTAGCATCTGAATGCTGTAAAGTAATACTATATGCCTCGAAAATACATGACTGTCCTTTTAAGTACATTTTTTTCTCTAAACTTAGAGGTTTAGATTTTTTTCCAATTAAAAAAGCTTTGTGACTTTTATGGACCTACAGTTTGAAATGAGTAGTTCCAAACTTTTTTCATACTAATCTAATGTTTTTCTGACAGCTGGCTTATGACATTGACAGAGAGGTGGATGATCAGAACGACTACTTAGACAACATGGTGAGTCCGTCTTGCCTCTGATGTAAGTGGTTCTTGCGGACCTCTAGGTCTTATTGCAGGTGTGTGTTGAAAGAAACTAAATTTGTAATTGTCTTCTCCCTCTTTGTCTTTCAGGACTCAAACTTCATGAGTGCAACGGGCCTGTTGAGCGGGAGTGTGAAGCGGTTTTCCACAATGGTCCGATCTGGCAAAGACAATCGACGCCTCCTCTGCTACGTCTCCGGAGGACTGGTCCTTGCCTTCTTTCTTCTCTATTACCTGGTTTCCAGGATCCAGACCTGATTTCAGGAGAACGTCGTCAACCCATGTTGATGTTAAACTCAGACTGACAAACCTTATCTGATAGGCTTGAGCAGCCTCTAAGGTTCTCATGCTAAGAAAATACCTTTTTGATAAAAAGGTATTTTATGTATATATATGTATGTTTAGCTGAACTGATGTACAGCAGATGGTATTTGCAATCTCACTTGGGGAAACTATAGTGGGTGTTATGCTAAAGAGCAGGGGACATGTCAACATGCCGATGCTTTCAGGAGCTGAGCGATTCCAAAGTGGAGAAGAAAAAAAGGCATCACTCAAACACATCAAGGAGGAACAATGAACTGTTACGTCCAGCCCTGCTCGGTCATGCTTTCAGGCCTGGATCTCTATGATGATTACGCCTTGTGATTGTTTGAGAAGAATCTAAACAGAATGGTTGACCCACTGCCGTCATGCTTCTGGTTCACCTCAGATTTAAGTAAGTAGACTGAATTTACAAAGTGCTAGTCATAGAGCCAAAACAACAATAACACATATTTCAATAACAATAATACTGAACATGTGATCACAGCTACAGCACACCAGGCTGGGATGCAAGCAGAGCAGTAAACCCTTTATGGTCATACAGTCAGGTGTCTGTTAGTCTGCTGATTCAAATTTTTTTTTTATACCCCAAGTTTTATAAATAATAATAAGGGGTTTTCTGTCTTTATATTGCTATGAAAGAATAAGCAGATGAATTGATTGAATAACTTCTTGGCAATATGACAACTTGAGTCCTGTCCAAACTAATTTATCTTCAGTAAACAATTAATGCTGGTCACAAAAATTCCTGTTTTCTTGTGAAAAGATCATTTCTTTTTTGGGGGGAAAAAAAAGTTTGTGAACTCATAAATAGTGGTTTAAAACCCAATATTTTGTTTGATTCGATATATTCATTTGATGTATTCATTGGTTTTTAAAAGCGAGGGGGAAAAAAGCAATGCATTCTGTTCTGTTTAATCCTTCAGTATGTGTGTGTCAGGCTGATGAGAACTTGTTAGTGGAGTCGCAAGTTTAAGAACCACTGATGAACTAAATAGCTCTACAAATTAATTCATCATTCCTATCAGCAAACTTACTTAGAAGATACTGTTACCATATTGGAATTTCCATGTTCTTTTTTATGTTTTACTGTGTTTACTTCACCAATTATGAATATCATCCATTGTTAAATTTCCAATTGGTCTTTAGCTTAATTTTTTTTTCGAAGCATCCATAAAAAGTTTAGAGAACTGATTGTTTTTGTGTATTTCTCAACTCCCCCAAGTTTCCAGGTTCTTTGGACATGTGTTTGTTTTAACAGCAGACTTTTATTTACTGATTGGTCAATATTAATCATTAGTAAATTATAGCACAGTCTTCTTTTTTAGACCCTAAGTGTCAAGGGAAAAAAAGCAGGACGGTTTAGATTTGAAACTTTTTCTGATAAATTGATACAATCCAATAGGAAACTCTTGATGTGTAATGGTTAATTTAATATGGATGAAATTCAAACTTATTTTTTCAATATGTGTAAAGCTTTGTGTAGCATACTGTCTGCTTTCAATACTGTACCAGTAAATAAATGTTTTGTGTGTGTTTGCCAGATAATGCTTCTGTATGTTGGTGTTCCCCCAATTTTCCCTTTACACAACATCCTGCAGTGTGTGGTGTGTTACGTGGTGGTGAGTTGAAAATGCCCGATCTAAAATGGGGCATCTTCCCTGACTAACAGCAGAACGCAGCCTGTTGAATGTGACAGATAGCCAATCAGAAAACGCCTTGACGTAAGAACGGAGGGGATCCTGACAGCTGACATGACGCAACTGAGAATCCAGTGGTTGTGTTTATTCCATTAAAAATGTTTACTATGAAGAAACATAACTCATCTCCAAATCATAGTGCAGCAGATAGAGCGGCTGCTCCTGTTGTCCTTTATCAGACACCTTTTCTTTTTTTCGTCTTTTATCGCTAAAAATGAGTCCATAAACTATCACCACCTGAACACCATCACTTCATGCAGAAGCTTGCCCTGTCAATGTCCTGAAGGTGTTGCCGTCTTTAGGCTTCTTTGTTTCTATTTTTTCTGCCACAGGCTTTTATTGCAAAGTGGCTTCTCAGAATCTGATAAAACTACTCCTCTCCTCTCGTCTCGACCACTGCCCTAACGCTCTGACTCTGGTCACCATGGTAACATTTATATATATATCCCTTCAAAATAAGATACAGATGCGCCACAAACGAACATTTTACTTTGGTGAAAATTTTAACTCACGATAACGACTAATGGGAGCCCTGAGCTTGTTTCTCCCATCTGGGAGTGATGAGAGACAAAGACACCCGAAGTGTTGCTGATGCTCAGGGAGCTTCTTGGTCTCTACGTGGAGAAGCAGTTTGAAGCTTCATTGCTTCATTAACATCCATCCGGTCACCATATCATGCAGAGTGAGCTTGGAATGTGGGAATACCTACCGGGATGAATCCATTCTCCTGTCTTTTCTCTGGGCCAAAGAAACTTTCCAAAGAATCTGATCTGATTCTGACTCATTTTGCTGCTTGTGGCTCAATGTTGGCGGCAAGACATAACCGAGAGAATCCAGTTAAAGGATTTTCAAAATAAAAGATCCTCCAGACTCACATAATACATATCATGGAAATATATTTCATTATTTCTTGCGCGGCTCGGTGGTTGGGGACCACTGGTGTAATGGATGAAACAGCGCTCTCGGAGCTCAGCGGCCGCGACTACGAGTTCAATTAACGCTGTCGCCTGATTCACATTTTAGGCCACTTTATTTTATTGTCTGAAAAAAGAATATTCACTTGTGTGGTATATTTTGGTGAAATTTCAATATATTCTTGAATATTCCTTCACATGCAAATAATTATTGTTTTGAGGAGATCAAAGAGAAAGAGACATTTTCTAATCCGTTTATTTACCTTTGTCTTCGTCGCGTTTTAATCAGGAAACGATACAGCCACCTAATTTTTTACAAACATTTGCGTTGAGGACCCCGTTTGACTGTCACTAGTTAATCTTAGTTTGGCTCGTTTTGTTTTTAAGTTTATTTCCCCTCTTCACCAGCCAGCAAACTGGTTCACAGTAGAGAACACAGACAAATACTGTAGATATTGATCATAATCTGTGGGTTTCTGACCGTAATATCGGAATGTTTATTATTATAACTTTGACTTGTCAATTTGGATTCACCACCAACTACAACATTTGCTGTTAACTTTATATCATTTAGATGAGATGTTATTGCAGTATAACTGAAAGACATTATTTGATATTCCTCTCTATTTGGACACGTAAACACCACAGCAACACAATCAGGTATGTGATTTGGAGTTTATTAAACATGGTGACCCAACCATAGTAGTGTCGCTGAAAAGAAGAAAGTTCAGAAACGGTTTGGTTGCATTGCAGGATCTGAGCCAGAAACACACAATAGGCTAGAAGTGTTAAGCAACTCGCATTAAAAGTATTTGAGAGTCAATTCCAATGATTTTCTCATCAGTGCTGGTTACAAAAAGCAGAAACCTTCCACTCAGGTTTATATTGTGCTGCTCATGAGATGAAATTCATTTATTCTGGTGAACCAGAATGGGATTGTCGTGTTTCTCATTGATCTAGTTCTGCTCATATGTGGTATTTTCGAACGCTGCTCTGTTAAAACTTGTTTTGAAACATATTTTTCACTTACAGCATTACACATATTTGCTTCAAATGGGATTTATGGTAAAGTTTTGCAAACGGTTTTGTCAGAGAAGTAGGATTTTTCAACGGGCATCAACGCAGCCACTTACAATTTAGAAACATCTGTTGTTTGCAAAGGTTTCAACCAGTTAATTTAGTCACCAGTTAATCTATAACACCTTTCGTGGTTGTTCTGGGAGCCGCTATCATTGGAACAGTTATTCTGAGGACGATGCTAACCCAGTCCCTCAGGCCTGCAACGTTTGTAAAGCTAACGGACCGCTTTACTAATTCAAGAGACTGAATAGTGTGGTTGATACATCCAGTTTGATACATCCAGCTTTGTTTGTTGTTTTTTATGTATACAACTTGTTTAAAGGATTGTTTTGAAAACAGAACGATTGCACCACGTGTGCTAAAAATCTTATTACTGATCTATTGGGGTTGTAATATTGTAGCACTTCCTGTGATTAATACCTAATTGATGGGTGGGACTCTACTGTGCTGAAAGTTAACTGTGATCTGTTAATGTGCATTGGCCTTGGTTTATTACTGACCAGTATGGTTTATTAAACTGGTACATCTTCAACTTTACAGATTTTCCTTCCATATTTTAGTATAAAGTCAAAGTTTCACTGCATTTAGATCATTTTAGACCAATGTAGACACTTTAAAAGTCTTGAAATCAAATGTGTGACAGAGTTAATTTGGGTGTATTCAGTGAAGGGGCTTAGGGTTGGGGCAGACAAATATTCTTTTCTATTCAGGTACATTTGTTGCAGCCAATATATATTTTTTGGATGATTTTGTAATTCAGTATGAACAGTGTTCCACCACAGACAGCCCTGTGGAAGTGCAACAAGGAGTCTACTTTGAAACATCATGAAACTGAAACATAAAAATTAATAGAAGTCAAAAACACTGAAATTTAGATGATAATCAATGAGTAGAAGGCATTGGTTTGTCATTAAAATATATTTAAATATATTTTAATAATAATTATTTGGATATATAAAATAAACATGCATAAATATCCATTTCCTGTGTTAATATGTTTGGAAGATTGGCTGAAAAAATAACCTTCCCTGGTTATATTTTGGTTTCCTGCCTTCTATGTCAGTGGTACAGGATGTCAGTGTAGAATTGGAATCATAAATCTTTGTGGTTTTATGTTTAAGCCAAAAAAAGTGAAGCCTAATGAACTCCACCATCGCTTGGATACGCGTGCAAAATTGGATTCTCATCGGGTCAATTCGTACCCGTTCGTCATTTTCCGGTGTGTCGCTTGCCGTAGGTTTGAAATAAAAAGAAATTACGAATGCCCTTTAATTTTCCGGGTCAGCTTGAATTGCGTAAGAGTTTTCCAGAGTTTCTGGTAAATACAGTTATAGTTTATTTCAGAAAATTTAATTCACGAGCTCCGTTACTTGTGCGTCGCTGTATTCGAGGCTCCGGGAACCTCGGATCTGTTTCTTTGTTCCGCGGTCGCTCGGCCCTATTCGGTTCTTGTCGTTCCGCGGAAGAATGGACGAGGCTGCCTCGGCCACGAAGGCACTCGGGCTGGACGAACCGCCCATTGGTGGGTCGGTGGAGGGAGTGGGCTCGGATACGGAGTCGGAGGCCGAAGTCGCTCCGATGTCTGTGATAGCGGAACCGCGAAACATCGACATGAGAGCCGAGCACCTCCCGAACACAGACGAGGCCGAAGCGGCATTCGCAGGTAGGCAGCGGCAGGAGGCCATGGCTGTTCAGGAGGGTAAACAGAGGGTTAGAGTAGTTAGCATAACAAGACCAACGAATGTATTACTTTTTATTGGCATAGCTCACATAAAATCACAGGGTTATTCCGCATTTTAATACAACCACCGAAACTTTGTGGCTGATATTTGGACCCAACTTCATTCAAATTTCTTCCTGAAATAATTCTACTCAGTGATTTAGCCATTGTTGTTTCATTTTCCTGTCAGAAATATTTAGAAATAGAAATAATAATACAAAATACAGATATTACTCGTAAATGTAACCCCGAAGCTATAAGTAAAAAATGTCAATATTGAAAATATATTGTGGAAGCTGCCTCAGTTGTAGTGTGGGCATTAGCCCCCACCCACCAAAACTACTGCATTTCATCTACAATGACTTACAAAAGAAGGCTTCAGACTAATTGAATTTGTTTCTATCTTGCAATACAAAATGAAATGATCAAAGAACTTGAACTAAATGGATACTGACTTATTAGTTGAACTTTGTTTGATTAAAATGATCATTTTAATTGTTTTGAGAAGTTTGGAATTGTGTCATCATTTCACTCTGGGATAAAAAAAGAGTTTACCAATTGTGAGATCACAACCTTCAGTGTTCCAAACTTACTTTATTGAAAAACATTGAATATGATACAAACGTATTTTAGGTGCATTTGAGATAGTGCTCTCATATATAAATATAAAGTTTAGGCAACAGAAGGCCAATTATGTCTAACTTTCCGGAGATAGGTGGATATGGTCGGGTTCCCATGCAAGTATTGGCTGATCACCCAAAATTAAGGAAGTTGGTTGGTTCACCCCAAGTTTTTAATCTTAAATTCATCAACAGAAGCTTTTATTGTGTGCCATACTTTCAGCTGTGAAACTGGTCTGACTTCATTTCACAGTCCTGTCGTATTCACAGAAATAATTTGTTGTAGTTTTTCTTGGACGTCAGTGATTTTTATCTTTTGCGGCTGATTAGAGGTGGCTGCAGTGACCGTGGCGGATGTTCAGGCTGCAGAGGACAATGTCTTCACCACCACTGTAGCTACGTCAGCAAGCCTTCCTGAGCACGTTCTGGTAAATAACACCTCACTGCTCAAATCACTCCATAGACTCATGTTTGATTTGTAAGGAGGAATAAAAGTGAATTTATTATG